TCTCTCTAAAAATAAGTAAGAATAAAGTCTTTTAAAATCTTTAAAAAATATTTTAAAATTGTAAAAAGAATATTAAAGTGTTTCAAGAATATTAAAGTGATACCAACTCTTTATGAAATTTTGAGATGTTAATTCTCCCTTCTAAGCAAAAACTATTTTAAAGTGGTCATTTGAAAGGGATAAAATGAGCTCTAAACCAGGTCCTGGGCCTGAGAGAGGCCCTGTACATGGTGTAGTTGAGTGACCTGTGGCAGTGCCCCTGGTGGGGACTGCACACACACAGGACTTCTTAGTGCCAATTACTGGAGCAGGTGCAGACTTCTCTGGGAGGCTAGTTCTCCAGGCAGAAGCTGCTCATAACCACAACTCCTCCCCTTCCTCCCTACCCTGCACCCTGCAACAAGAGGGAAAAAGTTACTGTTTTCTGCTCTCCAGTAGATAGCTGGACCCTTGCTCTAAATGGTCTGCAACGTGAAAACTCCCAATCGGAAACTGATATGGACTCTGGCCCATGGGGTCCGTGTGTTGTGGCTGGGACAAACAAATTCACACGGACTACAGAAGTCCTATGGAGAAAATGGGACAGCATGGACACCCTCTAAGTGAGAGAGAGGGCCGTGACCCCTGCCTGGACAGGCTTTTATTGCTTTTCTGGATACTTTATATCGAGGATAGTCCTTGTTTACTATGCACAGGTTCACTGTAGGTTTTACAGATAAGAAAGGAAAGAATGTTGCCAACTACTTCAAAGAGAAGAATGTTGCCATCAAGGAAAAAAGTGGTTGAACTGGTTACTCTCCATACTTGGGAGCTTTAGCACAGATTTTAGGAAGTTACTTTAAAGATAATGCAGTAAACATTTGCTGCCTCAATTCAGGGTAAGGGGGTTTTAGCAAAAGAAAGCCTCAAGCCCTGGCTGGTGTAGCTCAGTGGATTGAGCGCGGGCCTGTGAATCAGAGTATCGCAGTTCGATTCCCAGTCGGGACACACATGCTTGGGTTGTAGGCCAGTTCCCAGCAGGGGACACAGGAGAAGCAACCATATATTGATATTTCTCTCCCTCTCTCCTTCCCTTCCCCTCTAAAGATAAGTAAATAAAAATCTTAAAAAAAAAAAAAAGAATGTATCTTCCATAGTTACCTTTTGAATAAGAAAACTAGAGGCTATTTATTGCACTTCTGACCACCAGAACACCCTTGACAGGGCAACTCTAGAGAAGTTTAATCAGGGACAGTAATACTTCCTCCATTGTAAAATGAGAAATTTACCTGGCTGGTGTGGCTCAGTGGATTGAGCAGGGGCCTGTGAACCAGAGTACTGCAGTTCGATTCCCAATCAGGGCACATGCCTGGGTTGCAGGCCGGGTTCCCAGTAGGGAACACATGAGAGACAACCATACATTGATTTTTCTCTCCCACTCTTTCTCCTTCCCTTCCCCTCTCTCTAAAAATAAATAAATAAAAATAACCATACACACACACACAAAATAATAATAATAAAATAAAATAAAATGAGAAAATTAACGATTTTTAAATGTTTTTCTAAAACAATAAAGTTAAAACTCCTTGATTTTATAAACTTAATGGAAGTACATTAGAATCTTAAACTTGAATGCAAAAATGCCTCCGTGTTAAACCCCAGCCTGCCTGTGAAAGTACAAGTGTCGATCGATGACTTGACATAGTTTAAGGTAAAACATCAAGAATATAAGATATTCTTTTGCTTTGACAAAATATTACAGTGAAGTTTCTATCTCTCACTACACACGAATCCATATATACAAACATACATATGTACCCACACACAGAGACTTCAAATCACAATATAACTTAGTAAAATTAAGCACAAAAACTTTGTACTTAATTTACAAAAATTTACACGAAAATCTCTACACCAGGATTTTCAGCATATTAACACAGTCTGTTGATTAAAAAGCCACAACTGCATTAACTCATCTTTAAAGCCCAAGTTTCATACAGACATTTAAGATAAATAAAATACACATATATTTCAAAGACATACATGTGAATTAAAAAAATACATATTACTACATCATTGGTAGTTCAAATATAAGGCAAGAAAAAATGTGTCCCTACTCACCATTCAGAACCTCCTAATGATTTACTAAAATGACTTAAATTCATGCGACTGTTCACAGATGACATTTTAGATCTTGAAAAACCATTAAAATAGAAAAAAGCACCATGCTCTGGTCCTTATATATAGATAGATAGATAGATAGATAGATATAGATATAGATATATTTTTTTCTAAGGATTTTATTTATTTATTTTTTGAGAGTAGGGAAGGGAGAGTGGGAAACACTGGTGCAAGAGATGCCGATGGTCGCCTCTTGCACGTCCCTAATTGGGGACCTGGCCTGCAACACCAGGCCAGGGAATCCAACCAGCGATCATTTGGTTCACAGGTAGGCAACTTAATCCACTGAGCCACACCAGTCAGGGCCTTCAGTAAATATTTTTAAGTTTATTAATTCAAGCTGTCTCAAAATGTTTATTAAAAAGTTACTGTCTACTTTCTGTTGCTCTCCTCAAATCCTAAGCTTTGTCAAAACTGTTGATATTCTAGTGAGTACCTTTCCAGACCATTCTCTGTGCCCAAATATCTGTAAGTGTATACAGTGTCTATATGTAGACATAATTGAGATACTATTATGTATGCATTACCACATGACTTGATTTTTACTTATTCAGTACCTTTTTTGGGTGCTCTTGAAATATATTTCATTTTTTAAAAAATGCTATGGGTGTACTACAATTTATAATTTCCCCAATGAAGGTATATTTACATTGTTTCCAATTTTCACCATTACTGACATATATATCTGCCAAAATACATGAATATTTCTGTAGAACACTTTCGAAGTGTCCAAAATAAAATGACCAATTTTATTTTTCCTACCAATGGCATGGGAGATTGCCCGTGTTTTCACATCTTTGACAATCCTGTTTATCAATCTTTTAAGTGTTTTGCTATCTCATATGTGAAAAATGGTCTCTGAATGATAACGATTTTCTCTGATTACCAGAACACCCCTCATGTTTACTAGCCATTCATATTTCTGGCTCCTATTCTTAGCCTTTTTGGGAGGCACATTTTTATATATTTAGGTGTTATGCCTGCCTTTTAATTTTCCCTACCCTGCCTTGCCATTCCCTAAGTTTCTGACTTTTTTGAAATAAATCCATGGCTTTCAGGCTTTTGTTTCTTGCTTAGAAAGACTTTCCCCCAACAGAAAGTCACTATTTACTCTTTTCATACTTTCTAATTTTGATTTTTACATTTTAACACTTAATCTTCCTGGATATTATTTTTGTGCATACTATAAAGATACAACCTCATGCTTTTCCACATGGATATCCAGTTGTTCCAACACCATTTATTAACTATAAGTCTACTCTTCCCCAGTGATGTGAAAAGCCACTTCATATAGAAAATTTTCATTTACATATATTGTCCCATCTTTGTCCTGTCTTCTAGTTCTAATTCTTCTATTTGTCTGTCACTATGCCAATACGACAGTTGTCATTTCTGTGATTCTATATTATGCTCCAATACCCAGATAGCAAGTCTCTCCTCATCGTTCTTTTCACAAAATTTTTTGCTCATGCCTGTGAATTTCTTTTCCTTATTAAATTTATTTTTATTGCAAAAACACTGAATTTAAAAATTGTTAGAGTACTTGGTTTTGAAAAATTCTAGATATGAATTACTTTCCAAAATGGAAATCTAATTTGAAATCATGATCCGTGGAGGAAATACCATAAATGTAAATTACTACAAAATGAAAATGTAAATGTGGCTGAAGTGTGTGAACAGCAGTTCTTTCCATACTTTATATACCTAATGGTATCAGGAAAGACTAAAGGCTATTTTTCCTATGAAAATGAGAGAACTACTTAGACAAAAAAACTTGAGAAACTCAATACTCTTCTTATTACAGTAGTCCCTCCTTATCTGGGGTTTCATTTTCCATTGTTTCAGTTACCCATGGTCAATTGAAGCCTGAAAATATTAAATGGGAAATTCCAGAAATAAACAGTTCCTAAGTTTGAAAGTGTGTCGTTCTGAGTAGCGTGATAAAATCTTGAAGCATCGCTCCACTCTGCCTGGGATGCGAGTCACTCCTTTGTCCTGCACGTTCACACTGTAGAGCTGCCTGCCTGTGAGTCACTTAGTAGCCATCTGGGCTATCAGGTTGACTGTCTCGGGACCACGATGCTTACGTTCAATTAACCCTCTTTATTGTTATAACTGTTCTATTATTAGTTATTCTTATTAATTTCTTACAGTGCCTAATTTATATATTAAGCTTTATCATAGGTATGTATGTACAAGGATAAAACTATATATAGAGTTCGATACTGTGCACAGTTTCAGGCATCCATTGGGGGTCTTGAAATATAACCCCCCCAGAGAAGGAGGAACATTACCATACAACTAAGTTCACTTAAGATGTCAATTGCCTTCTTAACATAATTACCTAAGGCCTGGCTGGTGTGGCTCAGTGAATTGAGTGCTGGCCTGCAAATCTAAAGGTTGCCAGTTCGATTCCCAGTCAGGGCACATGCCTGGGTTGCAGGCCAGGTCCCCAGTTGGGGACGAGTGAGAGGCAACCACACATTGATGTTTCTCTCCCTCTTTCTTTCTTCCTCCCCCTCTCTTTAAATAAATACATAAAATCTTACAAATAAATAAAATATTTAAAACTATAATTTGTACTTACACTCTTAAAGAATGTAGACTTTTAAAAAAAATCACAAGTAATCTAACCACTGAGCACTAGAACTAATCACATGTAGCACTTTTATATACTTTCTTCTAGAATGTACATGCTTTTATATATATCATGCATATATGTATGTATATGTATATATGTATGTATACACACACACACACATTTTGTTGTTACTGACTATTGTTTTTTTTTAACAGTAAGTTGGTGTCAGAACAAAATTTCAAACCCATCTGATACTTAACTGTTGTGGGATATTATGCAAGTTATTTCCACCAAAGCTCAGTTTCCTTACCTGTAAAACAGGGTACCAATTTTATATGGTTGTGGTGAGGTTTAATAATATCAAATATATAAATATTTTGCATAGCCCCTGACAGGGCTGAAGTCATTTCTACTGGTAGCATTAGCATACAAGTTTACATCTTGTCAGTTTTAACTTGACATTAAATTGGATTTTCCAATATCACTGAATAGTCTCAAAACACTAATGACATAATAGCTCACCCATGTAACTGCGTCATTATTGGACTCAGTTTGTTTCTAATTTTTCAATATGAAAAGTTATTATTTATTCAGTTAAGTGCTCTATACACACACATTATTTGGTTTAATCTTCAAACCAACTCTTCCCTTGGAAATTTCTTTCAATTCCTTTAATCCCAGCAGTGGGAAAAAAAAGATGTTTCCTGTAAGATCTAGAACCATGCAGGTAGGAGAAGTTCCATCTATTTAACAATAGATGTGAACGATAGAAAAAATGATGCATTAAAAGTGACAGGAGTTGTTTCACAACAATGCTAGTAAGCCAACACTACTGAAGTAGACACTGAAAAATACGTAAGATGGTATAGTTAATAACAATGTAACACTGTATTTCATATTTGAAAATGCTCCCACTACAAAAAAAGGTAATTACGTAATGTGATGAAGATGTTAGATGATGCCATGGTAGCAATCACTTTGCAATATATAAGTATATCGAATCAACATGTGTATACCTTAAACTTATGTAATGTTTTATCAGTTATATCTCAGTAAATCTAGAAAAAAATTATTGACATGGTAAACTTTATTACGTGATTTTTTAAGAAAAATTTATTGATTTTAGACAGAGAGGGGAAGGAAGAGATAGAGAAACAATGATTTATTCACCTCATTTATGCATTCATTTTGGTTGTGCCCTGATGGGAGATCAAAGCCCCAACCTTGGCATACCTAGATGACTCTCTAACCAACTGAGCCACCCAGCCAGGGCTAGTATGTCTTTATAACCACACACACACACAAAAGTGTCAACAAGATAAAAGCAGAGTTGGACTGTTGATGACTAATGTACCTAGATGCCAGGAAACAATTTCTTGATTACAGGCACTATTTAGAACACTAAGCTAAACAAAGGGAAATTGCCCTCAATGTTAAGGAAAAAGCTAAGTTTAATAGTATAAAAGGTGAAGAATTTTTTAAATCAGTAGTTCCTACATTTTCCAAAATGGCATGCCTTATAAGTGCAATAAAATTTTTTAATTCTAAAAACTGAAATAGACTTCCGCCAAGATGGAGGCATAGGTGGATGTGCCATGCCTTCTCACACAACCAAGTTTAGAGACAACTAAATATTAGCAACAGAAAACACAGCCAGAACACGGAAAATTGAACTTTTCGGAAGTCCGTTAACAACAAATTCTTCAGCCTGACCAGTAAGGGGCGAAACCAGCGGCTGGCGGCAGGGTTGCACAGGAAAACTCGGCCAGACGGACTCAGGCCCGCGGAATCCAGGCGCAGGGTCGGACGTAATGAGCGACCGAGCGAGCGACCAGGCGAGCGACCGTTGGGGAGACAGCGAGGCAGCGGGGCTGCGTGTTGACTGAGGTGCATTTGTGCATTTGTGCGCGGGCGGACAGGCGAGGGAGTGGGCGGTTGGATTGGGCCGGCAGGTCCCCACTGCAAGCGGCAGTGGAGGGCGCCGCCATTTCCCTGCTCTGACCCCACCTCCACATACAGCGTCATAACCCAGCGACTCTGAGTGGCCCGGCCCAGGTGAACCACCTAAGGCACTGCTCCTCCGCACCCAGTTGTGAGAAGCGGCAGAGGGGGTCGCCATTTCCCCGCTCTGGCCACGCCCCCACATACAGCGTCACAACCCAGCAACCTGGGAATCCAAGGCGCCGCTTCTCACACTTAAAGGGCCCGAACAGACCAAGAATGGCGCAGGAGGATCTCAGAGCCCCAGAGCCAATAGATCTAAGCGATGAAGAAATAGCAAAACTCACAGACGCACAGTTTAAAACATTGGTGATCAGGATCCTCACAGAACTGGTTGATTATACCGACAAATTAGACAAATCTATGAAGGCGAAACTAATTGAAATGAATGGAATTGCACAGGACACCAATAGCAATGAAAAGGAAACTGGGACTCAAATCAATGGAGTGGACCAGAAGAAAGCAAATAATGGCCAAACAGAAAAGGGTCAAGCAGCAAGAATTCAAAGAAATGAGGAGAGTCTTATGAACCTCCAGGACATCTTTAAACGCTCCAACATCCGAATTATAGGGGTACCAGAAGGGGGAAAGGCACAGCCACCAGTGGAAAACTTATTTGAACAAATAATAAAGGAGAATTTCCCCAATCTGGCAAAGGAAATAGACTTCCAGGAAATCCAGGAAGCTCAGAGAGTCCCAAAGAAGTTGCACCCAAGAAGGAACACACCAAGGCACATCATAATTACATTAGCCAAAATTAAAATGAAGGAGAGAATCCTAGAAGCAGCAAGAGCTAAGGGGACAGTCACCTATAAAGGAGTCTCAATCAGACTGTCAGCGGATTTCTCAAAAGAGACCTTACAGGCAAGAAGGGGCTGGAAAGAGGTATTCCAAGTCATGAAATCCAAAGACCTACAACCAAGATTGCTCTATCCAGCAAAGCTTTCATTTAGAATGGAAGGACAGATAAAGTGCTTCTCAGATAAGATCAAATTCAAGGAGTTCATCATCACCAAGCCCTTATTATATGAAATGTTAAAGGGACTTATCTAAGAAAAAGAAGTTAAAGAAGCATGAACAGTGAAAGGACAACAAACTCACAGTTATTAACAACCACACCTAAAAGGAAAGCAAACTAAAAGGACAGCTAGATCAGGAGTGGAAACATAGAAATGAAGATCTCAAGGAGGGTTAGCAACAGGGGAGTGGTAGGAGGAGAAGGGGGAGAAGGTACAGAAAATAAGTAGCATAGACAGTAGATAGAAAATAGAAGGGGGGCAAGAATAGCATGGGAAATATAGAATCTAAAGGACTTGAGACGCATGGTCATAAACTAAAGGGGGGTAATGGTGGGGATGAGGGGTAGGGTGGAGGGGAATAAAGGGAGAATAGAACAACTGTAACAGCATAATCAATAAAAAAATTTTAAAAAAATAAAAAATAAAAACTGAAATAATATGTGTCTCTACCTCAAGTGTACATAATACTTCTTAAGTTTGGTTTTCTAAAATAACAATGTAAGATTCAAGCCCTGACCACTGTGGCTCAGTTGGTTGCCTACTGTCCAGCAAAGCAAAAGGTCACCAGTTTGATTCCCAGCCAGGGCACATGCCTGGGTTGCAGGTTTGGTCGCAGATCAGGGTGCATATGAGAGGCAACCGATCTATGTTTCTTTCTCACATTGATGGTTCCCTCTTTTTCTCCCTCCCTTCTCCTCTCTCTAAATATAAACACACTCTTTTCAAAAGATTCAAATTAATGCGTTCTTAAGAAACTTTACCTTATTAGCTTCTATTGTCACTATTCGAGTCAGAAATTTCATCATAATTGTTGGTGCCACAGGGTTGAAACTGTCAAAGTTTTATACAAGAAAATGGTTAAATGATTAACTGAAAACATAATGTGTATGTTAACATCTTAGGCAGAAATTTCATTCTTACCTAATGTTTGATATAGCACACTCTTCTTGAATTTCTTTGGGAAACAGTAACCTTTGATTACTATCTCCACTGAGACTGTCAGAGATTATAAATATCAGGGGACATCGACCGATCTGTACATACGTCCTAAATTAACAACATAGAGCAATGTTAAAATCTAAGCTACTTACCATTTAATTTGGAATTTTAGAAAGCTTCACTGAAACTCACCTTAGAACTTAATGTAAAGTATGAGAATCTCGATAAAACTGGTTAGGTAAATCCTACTGAAAATACATCATAAGTACCTGTTCAGTTTTATTCCCATGTAAATTTAATTTCAGATTTATATTTACCAAGACAGGAAAAAATGCTATCCACTCCATGTATTATAACCAGAACTTTTATAGAAGGGAAATATGAAATAACTAATATTCTCAACAGTAATATCCATTAATGGAAAACCTAATTTTCACATTAAATTTCTTAGGGTGATTGCTAGTTAAGAGTATTATTACTAAGACATCATTTTCCAAATATTTACTTGGCTTTTCTATACTTAAGCCATAAAATTTTTAAACCCCATTAACCTAAAGCCATGCTATTCAAGTTAACAGAATAGGTTTTTAGGTTTCTGCTATATTAAAGCTTTATGTTATATTTTACCACTATTAATACAAAATATATCTTGCAATTGTTTACAGTTACTGAAGGTTTTCAAAAGTTGTACGTACCTCAACCAGAATTATCTTCTTATCACTTCTCAGATCATCTCCAACCATTTGTAGTTTGTTATATTTTGTTGCTCTCAGTAGAAACTCTTTAAAAACTGCTATCTGAGACTGATAGGGAAATACATGGAAGCTTGATTCTGAAAGGGAACATATTTAACCCTTTTATTTTCAACAACTTATATACACATTAGTGTTACACCCATATATATACCTCAATTAATACACATGCAAGAAGAGCTTACAATCCTATAGACTGTCCAAATTTCAAACCGGATATCCATTTCAAAAGGCAAGAGTCACGGATATCAGGAACTGCTCCACACCAGTGAACGTGCTGTGGAGTCAACGCACTTCAGGATGCAGCTGTCATCCCACACAAATGTAAAAATATTTAGGAGTTTGCGTACCCAATGAAGACTCTGCAAATGAGCGAGTGACTATAAATAAAATATTTTCAATAATAAAGGTTTAACAACAAAAGTAGAATGACTGATTGGTAAACTTGGCAATGTGGGAAATTCCCCACACAGAAGACTTTTTTTATATAGAAGACTGTTTATGAAGACTTGCTGAATATATTCAATGGTAATGTTCCTGTTTAAAAGCAGTAAAACTTTAGGAATTCAGGATACTAGTAACATAAACAGTGTGCATACTGAGGATATAATACGCACAGAGCATATTAAAGAAAATAGCAGAGAAGGGATTTTTGAAGAATATTCCACATTAAAATAGAACTGTCCTTGCCCTGGCTGGTGTGGCCCAGTGAATTGAGCACTGGCCTGTGAACCAGAAGGTTGCTGGTTCGATTTCCAGTCAGGGCACACGCCTGGATTTCGAGCCAGGTCCCCAGCAGGAGGTGCACAAGAGTTAAACCACACACTGCTGTTTCTCTCCCTCCCTTCCCTTCTCTCTAAAAATAAAAAATTAAAAACAGTAAGATTTTCCTTTCATAGAACTCCTTTCACTTCAAAGTAGCCTAAGGGATTTAGCCACCCCTAACTTAGTTATAGTAACAATAAGAAAAACTATTTTGCTAAAAGCTAAAAATGATTGTGCTGGTGTATTCAAGCAAAGATGTGAAATGATTATATACCACATCTTTAAATTGGTACATTACTATTTTTTTAAACAGTAAAATTTTTGAAGATTTTATTTATTTATTTTTAGAGAGAGTGGAAGGGAGGGAGAAAGACGGGGAGAGAAACATCAATGTGTGGTTGCCTCTCACACATCCCCAACTGGGGACCTGGCCCAAAACCCAGGTATGTGCCCTGACTGGGAATCAAACCAATTAATTCTATAAATATTTATCAAATGTCTGGTACAAGCAGACTACATTTCACATAAATGCTAGCTGAAGCAAGCCAGCTTTAGATAAAATAAGATCATCTTATTTCCTTACCTTTAGTGTAGCTTCTACTAATTCTTCAGTTTTTACATTATGCCCCTCCCAAGGACTACTTAGTAGCCAAATTAAAACAACTAAACCTCAGTTGGATTAAGGAGGTAACATTTGAAACAAATAAAATATATCTTTTATTTACCTGTTTTGTTTGTCTCTCTAAGACCTCAGCTTTTAACCATGTTTCAACTTCTTCAATTTTCTTTTTGTGCACGGCAAGTTCATGCTAAAAATTTCAAGTTTAAAATAAAACATTTTAACTCAAGGGTTTTTGGTACATCAGTGCAGATTAAATTAAACATTTTAAAACTAGAGCAAACAATTAAACTGACAAAAAAAACTGATTACACTTAACAACTGATGCCATCATTTGGAAATCTGAGTAGGTTTGGATTATAAAATTTTTTAAAATCCTTTAATATATTTTGGGAAGGGAATAAATAGCACGGGGTCTTACATTTAGCAATAAATAAATAAATGAATAAAATAAACAGATCAATTCTACATTCGTGTTAAATTTGATGTAAGACTACCAATGGTACCACTTCAGAATGACTGTTGAGAAAACTCTGAGCTTTGGTATATAAAACCCTGAAATTATTGTTTTTTCCAAATCATTTAGCAAGATTTTATGAATAACAACCGGAAAATGCACATCCTTCTCCTTCCTGAAATAAAACTATGTTTGTTTGCTACTTAGTACCTGAGTTTCTGGCTTGTATTTATCCACCCATGGTTCATTTTCAGACAGGTAGTTCTTTGAGTTTTCTAGAGCATATATCTGTTCTGAGGAAGACAGTGTTGCTCTTTTCCGACTTGGAAATGAGCTACTTTCTAATGTGGAAGGCACATTCTTTCTTCTATGACTTGGGTTATTCACACTGAATGATGTGGCAGTAATAGCAGGGATGCTTGTATTCTCTGAAAAGTCATCAAATGATGGGTCTACCCAATCTGTTACCTGAAAAAGAATCACATAAATACTATTACATTTTTTTAAAAGATTTATTTATTTATTTATCTTTAGAGGGGAACGGAAGGAGAGAGGGAGAGAAATATCAATGTATGGTTGCCTTTTGTGCGTCCCCTGCTGGGAACTGGCCTGCAGGGAACTGGTCTGCAACCCAGGCATGTGCCCTGACTGGGAATCGAACCGCGATTGTCTGGTTCACAGGCCCCCCGCTCAGTCCACTGAGCTACACCAGCCAGGGCTTAAATACTATTACATTTATTGCATCTATTCCCCATATAATTTAACTAGTCTGTTTTAAAAAATGTTTATTTGTAATATATAAAATAAAAATCTCAAAAGGTAGCTGTTTAAATAAAACTGATTCCAGGCCTGGCCAGGTGGCTGAGTTAGACCATTGTTCCATACACCAAAAAGGCTGCAGGTTTGATCCCAGTTGGGGCACGTACAGGAGGGAACCGATACATGTCTCTCTCTCTCTCGCTCTCTAAAAATCAATTAAAAAAAACATATACTTGGGTGAGAATAAAAAAGAAGAAAGCTGACTTCATATATATCAGTTATTTTTGTACTTTACAGTAAGTTCAAATGCATACTTGTCTACTTGACCATGGTTATGAATACCATATAAAAGAATATAGAATACAAATTTAATTGTTTTTATTACTGTAACTTTCCCAGGGTAAAGAGTAGTCTGATTATTTTAAACACATGTAGGACTGAAACATAAATATTTAAAGTACCTATAAAAAAAGCAAAAGAGAGAAACATTACTTTAACCATGTACAACAGTGAGAAGAGTAATACTTCCATGTTAACCAGTTAACACATTACACTTCATACATGAAAACAATCCCTATTAGCTTTAAGACTTAGTGAGGATATAATTTAAGAATCCTGATACTATGAGTAATTTGTAATATGTCTTGATTATATTCACTCCTCTTTTAAGGACAGAGAGTTAGAAATGTTATCATTCATTGATGAAGAAATGAAACCTCTGGGGAAAAAATTCAGTCATAGCTACCTGATTCATTTCTTCCTCTACAAAAGACTGTCACTATTACTATAATATTGGTCCCTTTCCTCTATTTTTAAGAGTACATACAAATTATGTTATAGTAATCCTTTTGATAGGAATCCTGATCTACGTGTTACATATAAATTTTATGGCTTTATTTCTGACATAAATGTAGACTACCATTTACCGAAGGGGGGGAAAAATAGAGAGAAACAGCAAATTTAAATCATTTACTTAAGATCAAAGATGAAGCAGCCCTGTCTCGTTTGGCTCCGTGTACTGAGCATCTGAAGAACAGAGGGTCACTGGTTGGACTCCCAGTCAGGACACATGTCTGAGGTGCTGGCCAGGTCCCCAGTTGGGGTTGTGTAAGAGGGAACTGATAGATGTTTCTCTTTCTCTCTTTCTTCCTCCCTTCACCTGTCTCTAAAAAATAAAGTTTAGGCCTGGCTGGTATAGCTCAGTGGATTGAATGCAGGTCTGTGAACCAAAGGGTCATGGCTCGATTCCCAGTCAGGGCACATGTCTGGATTGCAGACCAGGTCCTCAGCAAGGGGTGCACAAGAGGCAACCACACACTGATATTTCTCTTTCTCCTTCCCTTCCCCACTCTCTGAAAATAAATAAAATCTAAAAAGTAAAAAAAAAATTTTTTTTAAATTTAAACATATCAACCACTAGGAAAACAGCTCTTTGAGTTTGAGCATGATACTGTCTGACCTTCAACCTACTTTGCCTCCTAACCTTGCTGAAAACTAGTTCACTGAACCTTAGGACTTCTAAGAGGCAGGGCTTGTTGTTAAAGTTGAACACCACTACAACTCATACTTTTCTTTTCTTCTACTGCTCTTCTGTGAATAGCATAGTAAATATGGTTTCAAAATTAAGGTTGCACTTTCAGTGTATAGTTAACAATATATTATGAGACTTTTTAGATCACTAATTACAACAGATATTGGGTACCATTACACTGATAGCAGTAAAAAATTAAGAACATGTACAAAAATGTAAATCTTTTTCGGCAATTGTATGACCATTTTAGTGTATCATACCTTTGTGGAAGGCACCTTTCGCCTAAGAAAAGCTTTTGACATTATAAACTTTAATAGTTCCGATCCATAGCATACAACCTGTAGTATATTAAAGTATAATTCACCTAGGAAACAAAAAGAAAAAATTCTCGATTAAGAAAAAACAGACCCGAACCAGGTAGCTCAGCGGGTTAGAGCATCACCCTGATAGCCAAGGTTGTGGGTCTCATCTCCCATAAGAGAACGTAGAAGTATCAACCAATAAATGCACAACTAAGTGGAACAACAAACAAATTGATGTTTCTAGCTCTTAAATCAATAAAAAAAAATTTTAAGAAAAAAACACCTGAGTCTACTAATTGATATATGATACAATCAACAGCATGTGCTAAAGCTCAAGACCAGTGAGAAAAAACATAATAAACATAGATGCAAGTATCGAAATGCTAAAATAAATTTTCATTTTAATGACTGTAACCTATGTCAAATAATCTTATTCATGGTGCTATAAAGTATTTCACATGAACTCAATAATTAGAGAAAAGAGAAAAACCACATATTTTGCACCTACCTTTTGTTATTAAGAAAAATTAGAAATATTATCTGTGCTGGTTTTATATGAAAATTAAAATTTCCTTGTTTTAAATCAGGTGGTTTTCATTGCCAATTTTTCTTAAAAGAAAAAAAACTTTTACACAATGAATTCAAATTTATCACTCACGTTGGACGAAGACTTTAAATCTCACTGTACATTTTTCTTTAACTGGTTTCCTTATTTATACATATTAGGAAGTTTTTGACAGCAGTTTCCTAACTTTCAATATTCTGCATTGTTTATACAAACTAGTAAATTCACCGATTTTAAGTTAGCCAGAGGGAACTCTACGAATGTATAAATTGGAAAGTACATTGGACTCTTACAGTTTAGAGGCACATATAACGTGTAAATACTTCCACACACTAGAAAATAAATCGTACACACACAAATCGTTCGCGATTTAAGAAGTTTTTATTTTGGAGGTTCAAAGAGGTACATAGATAGAAAAAACATCTATTTGAGTAAATATAGCTGGCAGATCAAAATGATAGACTCGGGCTGTTGTTAGGGTAAAAACTCCAAATCATTCTTTGACAATGACAATTAGCTCCTTTATAAAGCAGGTAACTGCTCCTAATGATGCCACGTTCCGGAAATGAGACGTCACAGGTAGAAGAGAACTTCGAGAGTATTTCTAGCAGACCCGCACTACCCTACACACTGCGCAGGATATAATAAGCTCAGAGAGTGGTGCAAGCGAGGCGGCTAATCAGCAGACAGCCGAGATAGGCTCACGTGCCTCGGCTCCAGGGTAGTGGTCGGCGCCCCCACCCTTCTAATTTTCAAATGACAGGGGTAAGTGGGGAGGAAGAGCAATGAGATTCCAGGAAGACCTGCACGCAGAAAGGAACTCATGGACATATTTACACACCACAGCCGCAACCACGGCGGCCTTACTGGCCGGGAGCTGCATGCCCTCACGGGGGAAGAAAAGCAGAGGAGCTCGGGTATTGCACCAGGTGGAAGGGCACCGCAGAGCCACGCCGAGGTCCCACCCACCAGGGACTTTCCACGCTCTAGGGCGCTTCTGCGACACAGCCTGAAGGGCGGGGGCAGCCAAAAGGCAGGGTGACTTAGGCATCCAGCGCATTGCCTGACTCGAATGTGGTTACCACTCCATTTCCCTGCCTCGACTGTGCAATGAAAGTGAGTCAGAGTAGGCCCGGTAACGGTAACAAAGGGTTGGTGGCTGGAAAGCAAATATGGGTGGAGAGCAGCGCGCAGGGCCCCCGGGGCAAAGGCGCTTGCCAAGCCCGTCCCTTCCCGCCCCTTCCGGCCTTTTCCGGTTGTCTTAAGAGCCTTTACACCTAGTTCTGCAGAGCCGTCGCCGTTAGGACCATGTTACTTCCGAACATTCTTCTCACCGGTTAGGGCGCGCGCCGTGACACGGAGGGGATGGACAGTGGGTCGGGTCAGGGTTCTGAGTTCTTTGGAGCCTCGGGCGTCCGAATGGGGAGGGCCCGGAGTTTTGTTCCCATGCTTGTGGCCGCCCCGTGGCCTGGCAGTTGTCAGGTCCCCACACCGGCCCTCGTGGTCGGTCGGGGGGTAGGGCGGGGCTGCAGAACATCTGTCTGGCTGGCGGAGGTTGCTCGCGAGGTGGTGAGGGGTAAACCTGCCCAGCTCCCCTTTCTGGCAAGCTGACTAATCTCTCTAAACCCGGTTTTTGTTTGGTGGATGTTGACTGTTAATTTTGTTTGGCTGGGTTGTCTTTGGGTTTTAGAGAGGTCACATTAGTAGGTCTGTGACTGATGGATGTTTAGTTTTGAGGCCTTAGTGGGCGGCCTTTCATTTTCCCTTTGTATCTGAGAGTCAGCTTTGGGTAAGAGTTCGGGTGTTTGTGTTGTATGGTGATTACTTTGCTATGTTTGTTTGCTGAGTTAGCATCAGAGACTGTTTTTCTTCCAAGAAGAAAACAAGGCTATTTTCTGAGTACTCCTGGTCGTTTCTCGTACAGACATGTGAAGTTCCCGCGAAGGCCCTTTCGGTTCTTTGGATCCATACTCGGAGGAGCCTGTTACATGTGAGGAGTACTAAAATGCTACATAACGGAGATGATATTTATTGGGGGAAGGGAGCTATAGTTTCTATTGTTTAAAAAAACATAAGTTTGTTGGCCGCGCACAATTTTTATGTGTCTGAGAGCTGCAAATTAATCTCAACAGATTAGTATTTAGCCATTAAGACTCCTTAAGGGGAAAATTGTACAACATCCAAATTCATTGAGGCAGTCAGTATCTTGGTTTTGAATATTAAGCCATAGTGTCAAAGATTTGTATGTGAGCATTTTATTGAAAACATGGTGTGTCCAGGATGCAAACATGGTGTATTATACGGAAACTTCAAGTGGACGTCATTGTCTTCTATATAGAGATTTGATTTATTCTTGTTATCTTGGGTTGTAATGATTTTTATTCACTGGCATTAAACTTGAACAGCTGAAAATTATGCATTTGATTATCTTGAAATCCAGTAGATATTAAAAAGGGAAAGGGAAGAACAACAGTGTGTAGTGTCACTGTTCTGTAACAGTGTGCCATGGATGTACAAGGAAACGAATGTACAGTGTATGTACATAGGTATATATGCAGGTTATATACCAGTACGTACACCTATGCAGTATGCTATGGCGTGTACATATGTGTGAAAGTTTACACAAACATATGCATAGGACTTCAAGAATCTTGTTTATAAGGAAGACTATAGAGACTCCTTAGAGGAAATGAGATTTGTTTTTCATACTGCTTAATTTTTTTGTGAACAATTCATTAATTTTTTTAAAAAGCGATAATAATTTATTTGAGATGGCTAGTTTTACTCTGGGAACTTCCACAGTGGTGGCAAGAGGTCTCTGAATTGGTATCAGAATTGCCCGAGTCCCACTTCTGGCAGAATCAGATACACTGGGTGAGAGTCTGGCATCCAACAGGCTTTGGGTATGTTAATTCAAATAGTGTTGCTAATTACAAAACTTTTCAATTCCGAGATATTAAGAAGGGCAGGTAGGTGGCCAAATGCTAATAATCATTTCATGAACAATATTTTCTGTGGCTTGTCTTACAGGTACACCAGGGGTCGGAAAAACAACGCTAGGCAAAGAACTTGCAGCAAGATCAGAATTGAAATACGTTAATGTGGGTGATTTAGCTCGAGAAGGTAAGGGACATTTTGGTGTTGTTTTTAAAGAGAGAGAGAGAGAGATAGATAATGGTGTATTAGTACTATATGCGAGAGGGTACAACAAGCAGAGGAAGATTATCATTAAGGAATTTATGCTGTATTGGGGACCCATAATAATAGAAAATAGTCATACCTCAATACTTGTCAGCTTCAGAAGTAATCAAACCCTGTACTCATTGCACTTTGATCAGAAAAAATGTTTCCTCACTCGGCGCCTGCTCTGGACTCATTGTACTTGCTAGGACTCGTATGAGTCACGATCCTGACCTGCAAGAGAAAATGTTTTCTTGTTTGGTACTCGTCATTTTTGGCATTTTTCACAAGTTCCAGAACAAATTACCGGTAATGACAAGTAGCAAGGTGCTACTGTATTAAATGTCTAAAGTTGTGTCCTAGTTATTTTGACAATTACATAGCCCGCTGATTGGCTAGCAGTTCTTGTGGATAATAATAATTGGGAAGGTTTTCATGAAGAGATTGATTGGACTTAGGAGAGGTAGAATTTGAATATAAGGAAGAGGGAGAATGTTTTGAGATGGGTGAACAGGTAAAGGTTCAGGTGAGGCCAAGTCTGTCTATGGAACTGATTATATTGATCTCACTGCGAGGAAAGAGTATTCTGAACTCAGGTAGTACAACATGATTATCTTATGATAGTTTCTTAGATTAACTTAATAGTTGCATGTCTGCGTGAAATTGCACATATTCTACAATGATACATGTTTTTACTTATTTTACCCTGTTTTCCCCCAGTCTGTATCATTCTCTTAATATGTCTTCATCTTTTTATATTCTATTATGAATGATTTGTACAGGGTAGAAACTCAGGAAATTTAAGCAAAGGGAACTTGAAGTAAAGGGAACTTGAAGTATTTTAAAAGTTGGAATATTTTTAAAAATATGACGTTTAGAACATTGTTTTAAGTTCCTAGCAGTTGCTACTAAAGTAACTATTTCAGCTTTGATCTAATGTACATATTTTTTAAAAATAATCTAAAGTCTGATCACCGGATATCATGGAGTCTGGCAAGATGGCTTCCCCCAAGAGCATGCCGAAAGATGCACAGATGATGGCACAAATCCTGAAGGATATGGGGATTACAGAATATGAACCGAGAGTTATAAATCAGATGTTGGAGTTTGCCTTCCGCTATGTGACCACAATTCTAGATGATGCGAAAATTTATTCAAGCCATGCTAAAAAAGCCACTGTTGATGCAGACGATGTGCGATTGGCAATCCAGTGCCGTGCTGACCAGTCTTTCACCTCTCCTCCCCCGAGAGATTTTTTATTAGATATTGCAAGGCAAAGAAATCAAACCCCTTTGCCATTGATCAAACCATATTCGGGCCCTAGATTGCCACCTGACAGATACTGCTTGACTGCTCCAAACTATAGACTTAAGTCTTTACAAAAAAAGGCAGCAACTTCTGCAGGAAGAATAACAGTTCCACGGTTAAGTGTTGGTTCAGTTACTAGCAGACCAAGTACTCCCACACTTGGCACACCAACCCCACAAACCATGTCAGTTTCAACTAAAGTAGGGACTCCAATGTCCCTCACAGGGCAAAGGTTTACGGTACAGATGCCCGCTTCACAGTCCCCAGCTGCTGTAAAAGCATCAATTCCTGCAACATCAGCAGTTCAGAATGTTCTGATTAATCCATCATTAATTGGGTCCAAAAACATTCTTATTACCACCAATATGGTGTCATCACAAAATACTGCCAGTGAATCATCAAATGCATTGAAACGAAAACGTGACGAAGATGATGATGACGACTATGATAATTTGTAATTGAGCTTTGATGCATGTAACATGTATACTTGGTCTTGAATCCACTGTACTAAGATTAAACATGCATGCTGGGCATTTTCAAGTTGTGTTTTAGAAAACTTAAATAGTATTTAATGAGTAAATATAGTTAACCATAGTTTTTAATTGAGATATATTGTATTTTCTTTAATATAATTCCTAATGGTTTTTCATCAGCCTTTAAGTGTAAGAAATAAAGTTGCTGTTCATCAATTTGATTGTTCGTACTTTGACAATTACATTTTAGAAGCTATTTTAACCCCCATCACCAACAGAAATAATAGTTGTAACAAGTTCAGTTGTTGCGGTCTTTATTCATAACCACTAGAGTGTCATCTCTAATGTCTTCAGATGTTTAAATCACACTGTGATCTTTGGTGTATAAGTCATTTTTAGGGGCCATTCTATCAAACTATTAATGTATAACCATGTTTCCTTTTTGGAGAGAATAGTGGATCCTCATCTGTTTCGATTTATCTTCTTCAACTGCCCAAGTTCTTCCTAGGTCCTCTTTATCTCTGATTATATTTATGAACCCTAATGTGTCTCCCAGTAACTCCCCACTTTAAAAATTTTTTTAGCTCTAGCCCGGTAACTAACTTGGTGAGTGTGTCATCCCAATACATGAAGGTTGAGGGATCAATCCCCAGTCAGGGAACATACAAGAATCAACCAAGGAATTAATGAAGCGAACAGCAAAGTGATGTTTCTCTCTCCCTCCCTTTGTCTCAAATTTTAAAAAAAATTTTTTCAGTATCCCTTTTGCAGGCCAGTTCTCTGCATTTTTGCTTGCCACGCACACACACACACACACATTATTAAGAGAGAAGGGAAGGGAGGGAGAAACAGGGAGAGAAACATCATTGTCTACTTGCCTCTCATGTATCTCCCCCACTGGGGACCTGGCCTGCAACCCAGGCATGTGCCCTGACTGAGAATTGAACTGGCGACCCTTTGGTTCCTAGGCCCACACTCAGTCCACTGAGCTATACTAGCCAGGGCAGCTTGCCATATTCTTGATGTAAGTCACTCCAATGCTTTTATTTTTAATCCAGGTCTGGCATTTAAATTTTAGTTAATGAAACTCAGTTCATTATTTGCTGTTGTACATAGCTAGAAGGTCTTCATTATATACTTATGTGAAATCTGGTTTTCTTTCTTTGCCTGTTGAACTTTACAGTGTCTGGCAAGTGATTTCAGAGTCACAGTAGTCATTTTCAGTCATGTCTGCCAGTTCTCATCTCACCTACTCAGGTTAACATCTAAACTTAATGAAATTGCTATATAATCTACATGAATAGCATTGCGAGGAACAGTAATGCTAGAACCATTGGGTCCTCTCCTATTTGTGTTCACACCATCTGAGCCACTTGTGTGTCCATCTAATGGTGTGTAATCTCAACCATTTTATTGATGACATGAAATTTAATCTATAGAGGAAAAGTATGCTTCCTTCATATAATGTCACTTGAAAGATGTCTGGTCTGAATTGACATGGTGTTGGCTGAGGTACTTTGTAAGATTTCTCATAAGGTACCATATTTCTTAATGCCAATTAGCTATATCTGAGAATCTCGTTAGACAATATTCTGAGACATCCAGCTTGGTTTTTTTTTTTTTTCAAATGGTGATGTAAGGAAATCGTGCAGTCATCTATAAAGTAGTGGTTCTCAGGTCGGGGTGATGATGCCCTTCAGGGGACATTTTTGGTAGTCACAAGTGGGGTTTGGGGAATTGCTAGTGACATCTGATGTCACAGGGCAGTGATTCTGCTGAACATCCCACAGTTCACACCTTCCACTCCCATAACAGAATCCTCAAGCTCCAAGTGTTAGTGGTAGTTGAGGTTGAGAAGCTCTGCTATAAATGAGACTTTATTTTATTTATTTATTTATTTATTTATTTATTTATTTATTTATTTATTTATTTTAAATGAGACTTTAAAGAAAAGGAAACTGGCTTTAAACAAATGTCTAAATGGGTGTCTGTAGCCATCCTAATAATCATATCGAATTGCTGTATTACAGTTGACCCTTGAATAACGGGTTTCAATTGCACGGGTCCCCGCTATACATGGATTTTTTGATTGACATGTGCAGTTCAGCTCCATGGTTGGGAATCTGTTTATGTGGAGGGCTGACTAATTGTACATGGATTTTTGAGTTTGTGGGAGGTTAGTCCCCCTAATCCCTCCATTGTTCAAGCGCCAACTGTATTTCTAGAGATCCTTATGTCATTTGGAACCCAGGCAGGAGAAATTAGTTGGGAAGTTAAGGTTAAAACTATCAGGAGTCCTAAACACTGTGTAACTAAGAATGCTTTTATTATCCCTTGTTGGGGAGCTTTGTCTGCAGAGCCCTCTGTCTGCTGCAGATGAGAATAAGTCTACCAAGACATGCTCTGCTTGGCCAGTCTCTCAAAGGAGAAGAGCCAGGAACCTTTTCCTCCATGAGTTTTTATTGGGTTCAGTTTGCACAGGAATACAGGTAAAGCTCATCAATCACTGTCAGGCAGTAAGGATCAAACAATAGGTAACATACAAAGAACTAGGAGAGCTTATTCTGACTCAGGGTCATTAGCTAAAGGACTTTAAACTTTGGGGAAGAAACTCTTTTCATCCTTTGACCCTTATCAGAAAACGGAGGAAAATCTTAGCAAAGCAGGTTTCACAAGATTTTATGCATTCTTTCTTAGGCCTGATCACCCCAGGGGACTTCCTGTTCCTGCCCAGAGCTGCACCACTCTCCCACATTGTTTCAGGCTTATGTCAGGCAGGTGAAGTAAGGCAGCCAAGATTAGGAGACTTGTCTAAGACAGAATGAGACTCGGGCTAGGTCAGAACTGAGGGGTGAGGGTCCATCACCCCTTTTTTCTATGGCTCCCCAAGTCCTTCCCTGAGGGCCCCTTCATGACCATGCCTGTCTTAGGTCATCCCTCCCTTGAGGAATGTCATTGGCTGGCTGACAGGTCATCCAAGGGAAGCCAAGCAGGGTGAAATAAAGGCAGCAGCAGTGGCGCCCTGCCAGAGAGAAGCTTTGTCTCCTTAGTGGCTTGTGATTGCAAGGTCTCTCACTCAGCCTTAGCCATAGGGGGTTACAGCTTCTGAAACCAGGCAGGGTGGTTCCCAACAATCCCTCTTCTAGTCTCTCAGATTCCTCCTCACTTGATATCCTTTCCAATATGCAATCATTAAATTACATTTACCAGCATCCTTAATTTTCCTGCCACCATTTTTTCCGTCTGAAGCCTCAAGGTTCCTAGTCTCTGTGGGTCCAGACAAAGTAATATTATATTGACAGTGGATCCATTTCAAATAGAAGTTGTAAAGCACAGCTGAACCCTCAACACTTGTAATCTTGCTCCGTTTCTAACCTAGCAGTGGGCAAACTGCTGCTGTTTTTACAGGATCCACTAGCTGAAGACTGACGTACAAAGCCTGAAGTATTTGTTGTCTTGCCCTGTCCACAAGTTTGCCATTCTTGCTCTAGTCTCTTTTGTGTCCCATCTTTTTCTTCCACTGCAACCCTGTGAAACGACTCTCCACTTGCTCTGCACACTGTTCTCTCCCAGTCTTTGCATCTGACCCTCTCCCCCCACCATATACCTCTTTCCCTCATGATTTCACTGCAGACATCTTGTAATTCTCTCTCTAGTAATCTCACTCAGGACTGGCCACTCCCTTTCACTGATGACTCTAAGTTTATAACTAACAGCCCAGTTTCTAGACACCTAATGGTAGCGATAGTACCCAGACATTTCCAAATTAGCATGTTTAAAAGCACATGCTTCAAAGTTATCCCTGACTCTCCTTGCCCTTTCCTGATTCCTATCCTGCACATATACAAACACACTGACACACTGCATGGATCAGTTGGCCTTCAAATCTTGATAGTTTGAAAAATCCTGATAGACTAAAACAACTGGTGTGTTCCTATGGTACCCGTAATCCATTCTCAAGACCATTTGTGCTGAATCTCCTTCAGTGTCTCTTACCTTTCTCCTCTACACCATCATGTCCTTTAAAAAACAGAGAATGGGACCCTGGCTGAGTAGCTCAGTTGGTCAGAGCATCATCCCAATGTGCCCAGGTTGCAGGTTTGATGTCAGTCAGGGCACATATAAGAACCAACCAATGAATGCACAAATAAGTGGAACAATAAATCAATATTTCTCTTTCACATTAATAAATAAATTTCTTTAAAAATGGGGAGTGGGAATAACATGACCTGCTTTTTACTGATAAAGGCCATACATCCTCCTTAATAAAGTATAGGAGATTAGGAACTTGCCTGTCTACCCTCAGCCTTACCTGCAGCCGCTGTCCAGTATGTCCCCTTCAGTCTGCCCACAGTGCACTACTGTTTCTCATCACGCTAGGAAATTTCCACATCCATGTCTTTATACATGTCATTTCCGTACACGTAGATGCGTTACCTACCTTACAAATAACTCTAGAAAGCCCAACTCAAATGTCACATTTTTGGTGTTAACTTCTCTAAGCAGCATTTACTACTCTTTTCTCTACATAAAAGGCCAAGTATCAAAACACTCTATCCTTCTAAACCAATTAACATCTTGTACTTAGTAAGTTTCTTGGATTGAGGTAAGTATGTTCTCAGAGGGAAGATATCTGGAGATGTCTGAAATATTGGCAATAGTCTCGAAACAGATAACTAGCATCCCAGTATCTTCCAAAAACACCTTTCACATACTGTATACATTCTAGAATGGCAGTTAAAGTAAACATGATTTTACAGCTTGACAAATGACAGCTAGGAAGGTCTTTTAAGGTAAGAACTTAGCCTTTTCAACTCTAGACCCACAATGAGTATTTTTTCCTGGAAGTAATACATCTTTAAGTAGGTTATAAAACTTTGTTTAGAAAACTGAATAATTTTTTAAGCTTTGGTAATTAAAGCAAGCCTTTTCATGTTTGCTAGATGAAGATTGTACATATCGATGACTATAAATTTGATCTCGGTTGAACCTTCTGAAGTAGTATAAATTTTTCTGCTTTTTTTTGAAATTTAGAATAAAGTTTAGAATCCATTCATGTCTCTCCATTTCCCATGGTACATGTTATAATCATCATTCACCCAAAATTCTGCAGTAGCTTCGATGTGGTATCTGTGTTGCTGGAGATTTGCTTCCTTCCAACTCTTTACAAATCAAAATGATTTTTAATTGAATTTATTGAGGTAACATTGGTTAATAAAATTATATAGGTTTCTTTCTTTAACTTTTTTGCTGTGACTGGTATGACTCAGTGGCTTCCGCACCAGGCTGTGAACCAAAGAGTCGCTGATTCAATTCCCACTCAGGGCACATACCTGGGGTGCAGGCCAGGTCCCCAGAAGGGGGTGCACTAGAGGCAGCCACACATTGACGTTTCTCTCCATTTCGCCCTTCCTCTCTCTCTAGAAAGAAGTAACAAAATATAAAAAATAATAATTTCGTTTGTATCCTCACTTGAGGACATTTTTTGTCTTGCTAATATTTAATTTTATTTTTTAAAATAAAATAAACATGCCAGAACCCAGGCATGTGCCCTAACTGGGAATTGAGCCAGCAACCCTTTGGTTTGCAGGCTGGTGCTTAAGCCACTGAGCCACACTAGCCAGGGCTTTCCCCTTGCTTTTAGAGGGAGGGGGAGAGAGAAATACCAATGCGAGAGAGAAGCATCAATTTGTTGCCTCCTGCACATACCCAGACCTGGAGTCAAATCTACAGCCTAGGTATGTTCTCTGACCGGATGTCAACCCCGCAGCCTTCTGGTTATGGGATGACGCTCCAACCAACTGAGCCATACCAGCTGGAGCAGACTACCCAATATTTATTTCTAGAACTTTATTTCATTATATAGTATTTCATCAAGTTGTTATATCAAAATTTAACTTTCCCTTTTGTTGAACATTTTTAACCATCACAATCTTTCCGATTAGAAATTAAATGACAGGAAATCTGAATGGGTATATTTTTGTTAAAAAATTTTTTTAATTTAAAAAATACATGTCCAGAGTTGATTTACCATCTATGTACATATGTAATTAGCCTAACAGATTCCTGTTAAGGAATATAAAGGCTCACTTTGCACCCCTTTAACAGGTGGGAAAGTACTTTTTTTTCATGTATGTTTACTAACTTTTCCATCCTGTACCAGTTCTTACTCTTTGTTAAGCTATTTATTTTTATCGTTATTTTTATGCTCTTATATAATCTACCTTTCAGTCCTTTGTCCTAACTACAAAATATTTCCCCCAGTCTTATTTTTCTTTTTTATAAGTTATGTAATTTTTTCACTGAACAGAGGTTTAACATTTTAATTAGTTATTTTATCTTTTTTTATTTTATCTTTTAAAGATTTTATTTATTTGTAGAGAAAGGGGAAGAGAGGGAGAAAGAAAGAGAGAGAGAATCATAGATCAGTTGCTTCTTTTTTTTTGGTGCCAAAACCCAGGATTAAATGTCATTTGCTTCTTTTAAGCACCCTGAGTCACATGGGTCCTGGCTGGGAATCAAAACTGCAACCTTTTGTTTGTGAAACGATGTCCAACTGAGACACACCAGCTAGGTCTCATTTCTTTTTTTAATTTTTACTGATTGACTTTAGAGAGAAGGAAACATCAATTTGTTTTTCCATTTATTGATGCATTCATGGGCTGATACTTATATGTGCCCTGACTGGGAGGCGAACCCTCAGTCTTGTTGTATGGAGTCAGCTCTAACCAACTGAGCTACCCAGCCAGGGCTTATGTTAGATTTAAATCTGCCTTGTTTAGAACTGTCCATCATTCTTGTTTTATTTTTAAGGTTTTATTTATTTTATTTTATTTTATTTTAGATAGAGGGGGAGGGAGGGAGAAAGAGAGGGAGAGAAACATCAATGTGTGGTTGCCTCTCACATTCCCCCTACTGGGGATCTGGCCTACAACCCAGGCATGTGCCCTGACTGGGAATCAAACCAGCAACATTTTGGTTCACAGGCCTGCACTCAATCCAGTGAGCCACACCAGCCAGGAGAACTGCCCATCATTCTTCTTTTGCCTTATAAAATAGGACAACTAACCCTTGGTTTTGGAGATATTCGTAATCTATAAATAAAGATGCTGTTCGTGAGCATCTTGATACTGACTCTCCTTCCCCACACCCCGTGAAGATGTGACCTCAGTGACAAGAGGGTTCACTGCTGGAACTGAGAACTTGTTATTTTTAATAAGTTTCATATCCTTTGCCTAGTAAGTTTGAAACAACCTTCTGTTAATGTGTGTGAGAATGTTTCTATCCATGTGTCACCTTCCCAGAAATCTGTAGGTCACCAACATTAATACTGTTCTCTTCTAGTCACCCACAAATTCAGAAATTAGCTATTATTAATTCTTCAGTTGGTTTCCAGTTTGATAGCTAAAACAGTTTCAGGTATGTGGCCAAGCTTCCCTCTAGACAAAATTCTAATTTATTAGTATTCACTGTATCCATGTGACAGCTATTGTGTTAGTGCCCTCCCTTGCCTCTAAAAGAGTCATTGATTTATTTCCATTCCTAAAGCCTAGAATTAATTGACTATTACTGAAAGTTACTTTGAAAGTACTACTTTAACACACCAGTGTGTATCTTTTTCAGGGCAGTTATATGATGGCTATGATGAAGAGTATGATTGTCCCTTTTTAGATGAAGATAGAGTAAGTGCAATTTTTTAAAATAAAGTTTAATTTTAAAAAATTTAATAGGAAAGTTGACCTTTTTTAAAGAACCATTCATCTTTTTCTTCCGTCCACCTTTCTTATAGGTAGTGGATGAGTTAGAAAACCAAATGAGTGAAGGTGGAATTATTGTTGATTACCATGGTTGTAACTTCTTCCCTGAACGCTGGTTTCATAGAGTTTTTGTGCTGCAAACAGACAACAGTGTATTGTACAAAAGACTCGAAGCAAGGTAAGAAATGAAATACATTGAATTCTTTTTTAAAAGATTTTATTTATTCATTTTTACAGAGAGGGGAAGGGAGGGAGACAGACAGAGAGAAACATTGATGTGTGAGAGATACAATGATCGGTTGCCTCTTACACGCCCCCAGCTGGGGACCTGGCCTACAATCCAGGCATGTGCCCTAGACTGGGAATTGAACTGGTGACCCTTTTGTTCACAGTGCTCAATCCACTGAGTGACACCAGCCAGGGGGAAAAAATTACTGTTTCTTATAAATAGCCAAAGACTAACTAAGGTTTGAAAAAATGTTGAGAGGTAGTCTTTTTTATTTGTAGCCGTTGAAAAGGTTATAATAAAGTAAGTACTTTAAAAAAACAGCTGTTGAGATAAATTCACATACCATACAACTCACTTATCTGAAGTTTATAATTCAGTGATTTTTAGTATATTCACAGAGGTGTGCATTCATTACTACTGCTAGTTTTTGAAAATGTTCATCACTCCCTCACCCCCACAAAGAAAATCCATACCCATTAGCAGTCACTCTCCATTTTCTGTCACTCTCCCAGCCCTAGGCAACCAGTAATTTACTTTACTTTTTATCTCTGTACATTTGCCTATTCTGGACATTTCTTATAAATTAAATCATACTATATGTAGCTTTTTGTTTCTGGCTTTTTTGACTTGGTGTGATGTTTTCAAAGTTAATGTGGGTTCTCAGCATTCACCAGTACCTCATTTGATTTTTATTGCCAATAAAATTTCATTGCATAGAATATATGTTATTTATGAGATATGTGATTTGCAGATATTTTCTCCCATTCTGTAGGTTGTCTTTTCATAAAATTAATCAATCACCTTTTAAGTAGTTTTATTCAATTTTGATTTTTTTATCCTCACCCGATGATATGTTTATTGATTTGACAAATCAATTTGTTGTTCCATTTCTTTATGCATTCACTGATTGCTTCTTCTATGTGCCCTGACTCAAGATTGAACCTGTAATCTTGGTATATTGGGACAACGCTGTAAGTCAACTGAGCTACCCAACCAAGGCAGAATTTTTAAATATTTTTCACTAGCTAATTGGTTGGCTAATTTACATATCTGCCTAATGATTACTTAAGTTTCTTTTTTTCAGTGTCTTTGGAATTGGTAGAGATACATGTATGTGATCAAGAACCCAGTTAGTGTATATTATTTCAATCATATGTTTTATCTGTTTATATCATAACTGCTCTAATTCTTTTTAAAATCTAGGACCATACTGATAGACTTCTTATTTTATCTCATAGCTCAGAATCTGGCTTGAGATAGGTAGATATGTTTACTAACTGAGTGCCTGACAAAATGTCAGGAGGAAAAATTTCAGACAAACCTAAACATTGATCTTTGGTTTAACCCTCTTGTCAAGCCCCTCATTCATAGGTGCTAGTCTATTTCTACAGGTAAAGAGAACACAAGAAGTATTTTTGCCTGATTTTTTGTGTATTCCACAGTCTCCAGTTTCTGCCATGTTCCCTAAAACTCCAATTTGTTTGCTTATCTTCTCTCTGCCTTCTAGGGGTTACAATGAGAAGAAACTGACAAATAATATTCAGTGTGAAATATTTCAAATTCTTTATGAAGAAGCATTAGCATCCTACAAGGTGGAAATAGTGCACCAGCTGCGCAGCGATAAGCCAGAAGATCTAGAGCATAATATCAATGAGATATTGAAGTGGGTTGAGCAATGGATCAAAGATCAGAGCTCTTGACTTGCAAGTCTGGCCACTTTAGAATCACTCTTTTAAAAAAATATATTTTATTGATTATGCCATTACAGTTGTCCGAGTTCCCCCCTTCATTTCCCTCCACCCTGCACACCCCTCCCCCATTTCCCCCTTTAATTCATGTCCATATGTCACAAGTTCTGTAGCTTTTACATTTCCCATACTATTCTTGCCCTCCCCCTATTTTCTACCTACCGTCTATGCTACTTATTCTCTATATCTTCTCCGCCCTTCTCCTCCCACTCCCCTATTGCTAATCCTCCATGTGGTCTCCATTTCTATGGTTCCCCTACTGATATAGCTATCCTCTTAGTTTGCTTTTGTTTTAGGTGTGGTTCTTAATAACTGTGAGTTTGCTGTCCTTTCACTATTCATCTTTTTTATCTTCTTTTTTTTAGGTAAGTCCCTTTAACATTTCATATAGTAAGGGCTTGGTGATGATGAACTCCTTGAATTTGACCTTATCTGAGAAGCACTTTCTCTGCCCTTCCATAGAATCACTCTTAATATTTCTCTCCCCACATCATATAAATTGTCCAGTTACCAGTAAAACTTATTAAAATTGTGCTGCAGAACTAGCAGGAGAATAGTATAAAGCTTTATGTTTGGGTTTCTTTTTTCTATGAGAAAGCTAAACAATCTCATGTATAATGAATATGATATTAAAGACAGAATAAAAACTGTCATCATTTAATGCCTCAGTTACTAGAGAATAAATAAATCTGAACAAATCTGTGTATGGATATCTTTTAAGTTTGTTACAGAAGAAAATGAACATGAGCTCTTAGAACTGAAACCTCAAGCAATAACATCAGAGTTTCCATTTTCTCTAAAAAAGGGTGCTGAGCATGGTAATACACTCTGTATAAAATTCAAAATGTACAAAAGGTTATACTGGAAAGGTAAGTTTCCCTTCTAGGCCACCCCTGTTCTTCAGCTACTGCACATTCCCTCCCTTTAGGAAATACTGTTTCCTATATTTCTTTTCAGGTATTTTATAGTGTGTGTCTGTTACATATTTTCTTAAGCCTAGCTAGCATGCCATGTATACTATTCTGTATCTTTTCACTTAAAATATTTGGAGATTATACCATCTTAGAATCTATACACCTCCGTATCCCTTTTTTAAAATTAAGATACAGTTCACATATCATAAAACTGACCATTTAAAATTTTTAAAAATATATTTTATTGATTATGCCATTACAGTGGTTCTATTTCCCCCCTTCATTCCCCTCCACCCTGCACACCCCTCCCCCACCATTCCCCCCTTTAGTTCATGAACACGTGTCTCAAGTTCTTTAGATTCTGTATTTCCCATACGATTCTTGCTCTTCCCCTATCTATTTTCTACCTACCATCTATGCTACTTATTCTCTGTACCTTCTCCCCCTTCTCCTCCTCCTCCTCCCCTGTTGCTAACCCTCCATGTGATCTTCATTTCTATGGTTCTGCTCCTGATCTAGCTGTCCTCTTAGTTTGCTTTTGTTTTACATGTGGTTCTTAATAACTGTGAGTTTGCTGTGCTTTCACTGTTCATATTTTTTATCTTCTTTTTCTTAGATAAGTCCCTTTAATATTTCATATAATAAGGGCTTGATGATGATGAATTCCTTGAATTTCACCTTATCTGAGAAGCACTTTCTCTGTCCTTTCCATTCTAAATGAAGGCTTTGCTGGATAGAGCAATCTTGGTTGTAGGTCTTTGGATTTCATGACTTGGACTACTTCATTCTAGCCCCTTCTTGCCCAGAAGGTGTCTTTTGAGAAATCAGTTGACAGTCTGATGGGAACTCCTTTGTAGGTGACTGTCCCCATATCTCTTGCAGCTTCTGGGATTCTCTCCTTCATTTTAATCTTGGCTAATTATGATGTGCCTTGGTGTGTTCCTTCTTGGGTCCAACTTCTTTGGGACTCTCTGAGCTTCCTGGATTTCCTGGATGTCTGTTTCCTTTGCCAGATTGGGGAAGTTCTTCTCTATTATTTGTTCAAATAAGTTTTCCACTCATGGCTGTTCTTCTTCCCCTTCTGGTACCACTATAATTCAGATGTTGAAACTTTTCAAGATGTCCTGGAGGTTCCTTAGCCTCTCCTCATTTTTTTGAATTCTTGTTTCTTTATTCTTTTTTGTTTGTTTTTTTTCTTCCTTGTGGTCCACTCCATTGATTTGAGTCCCAGTTTCCTTCCCATTGCTGTTGGTTCCCTGTGCATTTCCCTTCATTTCACTTAGTTTGGCCTTCATTTATTCCTCTCATTTGTAACTAAAATCAACCAGTTCTTTGAGCATCCTGATCACCAGTGTTTTGAACTATGCATCTGAAAGGTTGGCTATCTCCTGGTCACGTAGAATTATTGGCTCTGGGGCTTTGAGTTCTTCTTGAGCCATAATGTTTTGCTCTGTTCACGCCTGTTACGTATGAGGGGCAGAACCCTAAGTGTTCACCAGGGCGGGGCTGCCCAGGTTGCTGGGTTGTGACCCTGTATATGGGGGCGGGGTCAAAGAGGGGCAATAGCAGTCCCCTCTGCTGCTTCCCGCTGCTAGGCCTGGGCAGTCTGTCTCAGTGCTCGCTCCTTTGCCTGGTTTATCAGTCTGGCTGAATGGTTTTTGTTGGAATTCCGTTCAGTTCAATTTTCTGTATTTTGGTTGCGTGTCTGTTAGTCAAACTTTGTTGTCTTTGAACTTGGTTGGTTGAGGAGGCAGAGTTTCCACCTATGCCTCCTCCATCTTGGCCAGAAGTCTAGCAAAACTGACCATTTTAAAGTGGACAGCCCATTGGTTTTTATCATATTCAAAATGATGTTATACTCAAAATAATTTTTGGCTTGCAAAGCTATTGAATATGTTTCTCATACTAAATGAATTAATACACACCTGGCTTTACAGTTATAAATATATTAATCTTCTTTGATAGCTTTCAATCCCTAAGTATCTAATAAGCACATAGCATTGATCTTATTCTATTAGGAGAAATTTTAGAGCCTTGGTTCTATCTAGTTTTCCACATGTGTAGGTATGTTTGCTTTTGAAAAGCAGCTGATTAAGAGAAATGTGGGTTGGATCTAGAGAAGATGAAGACTGAAAGAAACTGGCTACTGACAGGAAAGGGTTTATTTATTTATTTCCAATCCAGAGTTATCTGAATCCAACCAAGTTTTGTTAATTATATATTTTTTATTGATTATGCTATTAGCTGTCCTGGTTTTTCCCCCCATTTGTCGCCCTCCACCCAGTGCCCCCTACTCCCTCAGGTGAGACCCTCACCATTGTTCATCTTTATGGGTCATGTGTGGAAGTTCTTTGGCTACTCCATTTCCTATACTGTCTTTCACATCCCCATGGCTATTGAGTAACTACCTATTTGTACTTCTTAATCCCCTCTCCTCTTTACCCATTCTCCCCCTCCTCCTTCCCATTTGGCAACCATCTGGTAACCAACTTTTTTTCTTGGTACTTTAAGAATCTCTCTTTAACTTTTGGCCTTTTAATTATGATGTGCCTTGTAGTGGGCCTCTTTGCATCCATCATACTTGGGGACATTATTGCTTCCTGGACTTGTATGTCTATTTTCCTCACCAAATTAGGGAATGTTTCTCACTATTTTTTAAAGATAGATTTCAATTTCTTGCTCTTTCTCTTCTCTGGCACCCCTGTGAAGTGAATGTTGGAATTCCTGAAGTTGTTCCACAGACTTTATACTAGTATTCCTCATTTTTCTGGATTCTGTTTTTCTTCTTGTTCTGTGTGGTTGTTTTTTGCTTCCTTATATTCCAGATCATTAAATTGATTCTCAGCTTCATCCACTGTACTGTTGTTTTCCTGTAAATTGTTCTTCAATTAGTGTATCCTTCATTTCTGACTGGGTCTTAGATATGCTGAGGTCCTCCCTAAGTTCCTCGAGCATCCTTATAACCAGTGTTTTGAACTCTGTATCTGATAGATTACTTACCTCCATTTCATTTAGCTGTTTTTCTAAAAGTTTTGATCTGTTCTTTCATTTGAGCCATGTTTCTCTGTCTCCTCATCTTGGTCATCTCCCTGTGTTTGTTACTGTGAATTAGGTAGAGCTGCTTTGACTCCATGTCTTGGTATTGTGGCCTAACATAGTAGGTGTCCTGTAGGGCCCAGTGGCACAGCCTTCCCTACCACCCACGCTTGGTACTCCAGGTGTGCCCTTCATGTGGGCTGAGTATAACCTCCTCTTGTACTTGAGCCTTTCGTTTTGTTGGCAGATCCATGGGAAGGATTTTCCCAGGCCAGTGAGCTGCAGGCACTGGCTGTGACCACTGACCACCAACCTCAGCCCTCCATGGAGGGTTAGCTGTGCAGGGGTAGGGCAGTGGTCCTTCACCATGGTCTGTAGTTGTTCACTGGGTGCACCTGGCCCTGGGGTTTCCCAGGTGGTGCAGGCCAAGGTCAGCCCCCACCTGTGTTTTGCCTGGGGCACCCTGCCCAAGCCATAAAGCAATCTGAGATGGCTGCTGTTTGTGCTGGGCTTAGAGATTTCCATAGCCAAGTTTTTTGATCACTACAAAATCTCTTCAGTTATTTCATAGATGTTGGTGTGCACAAAACAGAGGTTACATACTAAACCTGACAGGCTCAGGGGAGACCGAGCTGTGGGCCTTACAAACTCAGAGACAAAGTAACCACATAGGATGGTCTGAACATAAAAATTCATAACTAAAGGCAAGTCATGATGGGTAGTCAGGTCCTAGGTCTGTAGCTTCCTTGACAAATGTCAATCTTAAGTGAGGCTGTCTATTGTCTTTTTCTTCTAACATAACATTTTTGGAATGTCAGAGTAATCTCCTGTCCCAGACCCCTCAGGGCACAACAGCTGCACCAGAGCAGAGACCTCAGAACCCCTCACTGTTATCTTGTTCCCCAAATACCATTCTGGGGTGTAAATGTTAATTATTAAGTATCCTGTACCTAATGGGGACTCGAATGTTGAAAATATTTAGTTTCAGGTAACAGCTAGTAAGCTTGCTAATCCATATGTAAAAAGCTATTGTTCCAGCAACTGAAGGTTTGACCCACCTTAATTCCAGGAGACCATAAGCAGCTCCACCTTTGTGCCTGCCACAGGAGGACTGTGGGCAATCAAGATGGCATCTGAGCCACTGTCCTCCATTCCAGGGTGAGACACCCCCGAATACAGAAAAAGACCACTGCCCAGGGCACAGATTAAAGAATGCTGCACCTTTTTATCTAATTAACTTTTCCCCTGAATTCCAAACCCCTTACCCATACTCTTCTTCCTTCTCAAAAGGGTTGGTTGAAAATGGAATGTAAAGTGGTCTGTTAGGGTACAAACCCACTGTCTTCTCAGATCACAAATAAAGCTCCTGTAAAGATTCAATCCCTGTCTCTGCTTATCGGGTCTGGTAGGTGACAGACAGCACCAATGCCGGCTTTTCCAGTTTCATACCCACCTATGTAAAAGAATCATGTATTCTTCTATTTTGTTTTTCTATCCAAGCCCAGAAATTTCCCAGATTTTCTTTCTCCTACCCCCTTACTCTACCACCAATGGACTTCATGTAACCCTCCTTACTCTCCTCCTTTAATTCTAATGTATAAACTAAGCTGCAAAATCTGCCATTCTCTGGAGAATTTTCTCAGTCCCTTGAGATTTTGCTTCTTGACACTTGTAATCAGTTTGCCTCAAACTCATAAAAATTCTGAATAGGTTTGGACATTTTTTACATCGCCATTGGGTATTCGGAAATACCAAAATCATTTCACCAAGGTAATAAATCTGATGGCCTAAGGAGTTTTGATGAGGTTTGAGAAGGCAGGGTCCATTTCAAGAAACCCACAGGAAAAGATGGCTCAGAGAAGCACTTGCTAGGCACTCCAGGCCCGCCACCCGCTGTGTTCCTTCCCAGTGCCAGGCTTTGGCCCCAGGGCTGCAATGCCCTCGCCGCACCCTAGGGCTGAGCCTGCATTTCAAGGTCTGCCTCCACCCTTTTTCCCTTATGCGACTTGTAGAAACAACGTTTTGAACAGTCTAATGCTACCTTTACTGATGCACACACGGTCCTGTTCTGTGCATTCCGGTGCCCTCAGCGGGGAATGCGCGGGGCTTTGGAGCTGGACAGAGCTCACCGCCTGTGGCACTCTCCGAAGAGCACAGTTCATTACTCAGGGGGTCCAAACAGGCGGCGCCTTCCGGCTCTGGACTGCGCCTCTCGGTCACGTGGCTGGAGGACGCCGCTGCTGGGCTGGTGCGTTGGCGAAGTGTCCCGGCGCTAGGTGAGCGCGCCAATGGGGACGCGGGGGCGGTGGGGGCAGCGGTGGTCGTGGTCGCTCAGCAGGAGTCCTGATTCCCTGACCCTTGCTCCCGACAGGGCTTGGGGTGGAGGGGCAGTGCATAGCCGGCAGGCGGAACCGCGAGTTGGGGGAGGGGGAGCAGCTGGTCCGGGCAGCGCAGGTCAGGGAACTCCGCAGGTTGTGGACGAACTGGCAAACTGGCTCCTATCCTGCTAAAGCCAGTTTAGTGGCCTCATCCGACATTGAAAGTATAAGGAATGGGTTTGCGAGACTGCTTCTGCCCTTTTTCCTCTTCTCTTGACTTGAAAGCGTACTACATGAAATAGTACGCTTAACAACGAAAGCGTATTAAATGCAATATAGTATACTGAACTGGCTGCTGGACCAGCAAAAGAATATCAGGAGAAAAACTGGGGAAATTATAATAAAGTCTGTGGTTTAGCTAATGTTAACTTCTTAACATTTCGATACAGGCACTCTAATAGTAACATAAGAGGGATCTAGGTAAAGAATATAAAGGAGTTCTCTGCATCATCTTTGCAATTAACTGTAAATCTAAAATTGTTTTAACAGGAAGAGTTACAAAACAAAATTCTATGGCGCTGTGCACCTAGCCAGTATTGACCAGGCCAGGGTTCAGTTCATTCCTCTTTTACAGACCTGACAGGCATTGTTTGACCAACTTGTTTGCTAAGGCAAGAGTTGTTAGGTCACTGGGTGTGGATGCTTCTGGTCTGTGTTTTCCAGGAAGGAATCTATTTTCTCTTTTAATTCTGTCCATCAGCATTAAACACCTTTGGAACACCTGTTATGCACAAGCAAATGAGACACGTACACTCCCTGAACTATACAGTGTATACAGTGAGTGTATACAGTGAAATCATTAGGTAAGAAGCACTACTGAAAGTGACAATTCAGACCCAGGATAGCTCAGAGGTAGAAGAAATCACATTTGGCCCAAGGTAGTCTGGAAGGCTACTGCAGGGAGGCTGTCATGAACTGAGGGGGGCTTGAGAGGAAAAAACATTCCTAGGGTGGAGAATGGCCCCAGGTGAGGATCGAAGGTGACCATGCTGAGGCCACCTGGAAGAGAATGCGGTCTCTTTTACACGGAAGCACAGATCATGCCCAACGAGTACCAACAATTGAAGCAGGTGGTGAAAACAGGATTCTTCTTGTAGAAAACAAGGCAACACTTGTATTATTATATATTTGTATGTCATGGGGTTATGGAATGTGATGGGCATCTTTGGACTGTGCTTGACAACTGTGTAGGATAGCTTGGAGTAGATCAATTAGGGAACTATTGGTTTAGCCATGTGGAGTACAAGAAATTCAGCTAAGTCTGTGAAGCCTGTTAATGTGCAAAGAAGATCATGGCATGGGAGAGTTTGTGGATCTAAAGGACTTGACATCTGAAAGTACCAGAGAGAAAGAAGAAGAAGGGGAAAGAAAAAAATGTATTCCTGAATTTGAGACTTGGATCTTTTTAGAGTGTGGTTGATGCATTTGCAGAGATAGAGGGCTCGAGGAGACATGGCTGGAGTAGGGGAGGGGTGTGAATTTGTTTTTGAACAAGCTGTGTTCGAATTGCTGCTAGGATATCCTGCTGGAATGGAAGCCAAACATATACAGAATGGACAGGAAGAGGAAAAGGAGCCCGGGTAGGCAGATAACAGTGGGAGATTCCTGTGAGGTTGAAGAGCCATAGTGGACCAGGTGCCTGGGTGTGGTGAGTCAGTAGGGAGCTTCTGCAGAAGTGAAAGTGGCTGAGGAACGAGACTAGGTCTTGGATTTAGTGATTAGGGAGTCATCGGTCACTTTTCAAAGAGTTGTTAGTGCAGAAGTAGGATTTGCTCAGTCTGCAGTCTGATCATTCTGTTGCCTTTCCCAAGTGGCCAGACCACAGAACAAGGAGCCAGAGAAGTAGTTTCTAGTTCTGGCTCTGCCACTATCTGTATAGTTTTGGGCTAGTCATGTATGCCTAGACTAGCATAGGAAAATACACCTCTTAATAAAACCAGAAGGGCCCTTTTATTCCTAACAACGCCTCATAGTTCATGTAACTAGGGTTTTATGGGGCACAATTTGAAAAATGCTGATACAGAACTGGACATTAGAGCTCTAAAAAGCCAAAAAAATCTTATCCAATCCCCTCATTTGGCAAATGAAGAAACTAATACTCAAATTCTAATGCATTAAACATTGATTTCAAATATATTGTTGGTGCCCTATAAAATGGTTATGCTTAAACCCATTCTGGAGATTTGAAAACAGGCTCCAAGCTTCGGCTGGTGTGGCTCAGTGGATTGAGTGCCAGCCTGCAGACTGAAAATCTGCTGGTTTGATTCCGGTTCAGGGCACATGCCTGGGTTGTGGGGCCAGGTACCTGGTTGAGTGCATGTGAGAGGCAACTAGTCTCTCTTCTTCTCTTTCTCCCTCCTTTTCCCTCTCTCTAGAAAAATTAGGTCTTCAAAAAGAAAGAAAGAAAACAGACTCCAAGAAGTTAAATGACTAGCCCAGGATCACAGAGCAGCAGGTGGTGGAGTGAAATTTGAACCCAGCCCTCCTGAAGTCAGGCCTTCTCTGTTGCACATCCTGGTGCCTCCCTTGTTGTCAACATTGATTACATTTAAAACTAGTCCAAAGGAATGTTAGTAATGTGTTCCAAGAGTCAGGTTTAATTTGTATTCCATATTAATATTACTATTAGTATATAAAAAATGGGAGAGTACACAGCCAACAATTCCTAAAGTTACATTTTAAAAGTTAGTAGAGCATAAGACTATGCAAAAGCTTAGTACTTCGCTCAGTTCTGAATAGCAGGAAGGTGTTCCCATGACTCCTGTTACAAGGTCTGTCCAAAAAGTATCCAGCTATGTAATATGAAAAATAGAGATATTTACTGAAGAAGACACAAGATGCAATAAACATTGTACATAGGACAATGACACCTCAGTCCCCTTGAAAGCAGACACTTTAGGACCTCACACAGTTGCTCCCAATTGCCACCAGCTGCCCTGTTGTATTTTCCCGAATCTCATCGATAGTCTGAAATCTCTTTCTTTTCAAAGGTGATTTTAGTTTTGGGAAAAGCCACAAGTCACTAAGTCTGGGCTAGAGGGGGGCGGAGTCACTTAGGTGATTTGGTCTTTCACCAAAAACGTATGTGTGATGTGTGATGTGTGATGCATGACAGGGCACATTGTTGTGATGAAGCTGCCAATCACCAGCTGCCCAAAGCTGCAGCCTCCTGAATCATCCAAATAATTTCTCCAGAGGAATGTTGAAGCTTAATGCAAAATCTGATGCAGATTCATTGCTCTACTTGCTCAGTCATTTTAAATGTGACGGCCACACAGTCCACATGCTCACTCAACTGTGTCTGCCACCCCCACTGACTAATACAGTGAAGTCATCATTGTTCACACATGTGCATTCCAGTTCACTCTCCTTGGCTGCCAGGTTACCTGGATGTCAGGCAAACTGTTCTTGTCATATTAACAATGGCTGGACTTTTTCTAGACAGATCTTATATATGGTACATTAAAAAATATTCTTAGCTAGTCCTCTGATTGCATATTCTTTCCTCTTAATTGCTTTTTTCTTTGTGTTGACCAATTCCATTTTCTTCACAGCTGGCTGCCTAACTGTGACCACACCTTCCTTAACAGAGACGTGAAGTTGCAATTATAAACAGGATTCTGTTGCACTAAAGGTAAAATTCAGCCTATAAGGGTGGAGGGTATAGGGGCCAAATATATGGTGATGGAGATGATCTGACTTTGAGTGGTGGGCACACAGTGTAATGAACAGAGCATGTGTCATAGAAATGCACACTTGAAACATATGTGATCTTATGAACCAATGTCACCCCAACACATTTAATTTAAAAATTTACATAAAATAATATGCATCATTTTGAGTATTAGTTGGATTAATTTTGACAAACCATCATTCCAGGCAAGATATAAGACTTTTCCATCACCCGGAAAACTTCCCTCATGCCCTTTGAAGGTCACCTTCCCACCCCAGGCACCCACTGATCTATTGTCTGTTATGAATACTAGTTCTTCCAGGATTTCATATGGTACTGTGATTCTTTGGTTAGCATAATCTCTAAGATTGTCCCATGTTATTGCATTTATCAGGATTCATTATTTATTGGTGAATATATTCTATTAGATGGATGTACTATCATTTGTTTTCCTGTTGATGGGCATTTGGGCTATTTCCAGATCCAGGGCTAATTTGAATAATGCTATGAATATTCATGCACACAGCTCTATATGAACATGTTGTCATTTCTCTTGGGTAAATACCAGGAATGCAGTTGCTGGGTCACCATTGGAAAGAAACTGCCAAACTTTTCACAGTGTTTGTATCATTTTATGCTCCCACCAAGAGTGTACATGGATGTCCATATCCCAGCAGTACTTGGAATTGGCAGTAGTAGGCGATGGTATATCATTGTAGTTTAAATCTACAATTCCCTGATGACTAATGGTGTTGAGTGTCTTTCCATCTTTGCATCTGTTTTTATGATGAATTACTTCAAATCTTTTAAGGGCCTTTCTTTTTAAGCATTGAAAATATATGGTACTTTGACCTAAAGCAACCAAATATGCTTCATATTTGATTAAATTTATTTGGCACCCATATCTGGTTTTAATAGTGGAAGAATAAGAGAGCTTGCAGCAAGAAAAGAGATTTAATTATTTTTGAAGAACTGAGATTTTTGAAAGTCCTTATAAATAGGATATTTAGAAAAATATGTCAGATGTGTTTCGTTTCTTTCTTCTCTTTGTATTTGTTTTTTAGATTTTATTCATTTATTTTTAGAGAGAGGGGAAGGGAAGGAGAAAGAGGGAGAGAAACATCAATGTAAGAGAGACACATCAATCAGTTGCCTCTCGCATGCCCCCAACTGGGACCTGTCCCACATCCCAGGCATGCACCCTGACTTGCAACCTTTTGGTTTGCAGGCTGGCACTCAATCCACTGAGCCACACCAGCCAGGACTCCTTTGTATTTTTAATGAGTCTTGTGAAAAGGATGAAATATTTCTAAATAAGTACAGCAAAGCGGCTCTTTTGAAACATCTGGTGGTGAAAGTCCCCCTTGACTGCACTGTGTGTACTAAACTGAGCATTTCAGGTGCCCTCCAGCTACCAGGTAGGCCACTGTCAGCAGGTAGGTGCCCACAATGGTCCTCAGACCAGGAAGGCTCAGTTATGATTTCTCTGTAGGTTTTTACTTGGAGATGTTTTCTTCTAGGAGGAAGGGCAGGCAGTGAGCCCCGAGGTATCCAGTATGGAGCCTTGCTGAGGTGACTGCTTTTGTTTTTCTACCCTAGAGGCAAGTTGGTTTCAGTATATGTTTCTTCCTTGCTCTATTCTTTTATTAAACAAGTACTTGAGCACCACTTATGTCTCAGTATTAGGCACTGGGAATGCAGTGGGGATCTGAACAGGTGAAAACTTGTGCCCTTGTGGGGCTCGCATTTGTCTTAGGGCCGTCTAGAGCGGGTTTGGACTTTGGCGGGGGGAAGTTTTCAGGGTGCCCTACCTCCTGAGAGGCATCCAAGTCAGGCTGGTGCCATCCGCAGCTTCACTACCTTCCCCTTTTAGTGGCATGATTTGAAAAACGAGTAAAATGTGGAGGGGTATGTTAGAAGGTGTTAGGGTGATTGGTGACATGGGCTGTGAAAGAATTCACAAGGAGAAGGAAGTGCAGCAGGTAAAGGTTTCTATTTTCACTTGCCCAAGGGCGGAAGAGGGCTAGGTGTGAAGATGTGCACCAGCACTAGCCCCTCGGGGGTCAGAGCTTTGAGTGTTTATCCGGAAATGGGGTGGTTGTGGAACAGGATGTTAGTCCGCAGCTTGTTTCAGTGTCATCTTTGGGTACAGGGTCCAGTCCGTTGTTGTGGTCTGGCATGTCCTGTTTCCTGGGTTCCTGGAGCCTCTGCACCTTCAGGGTGCTCCCAGTGCATCATGAAATGATGAGCGCCAGTCATGCTTGTGGTCTAGCCAGCTCTGAGAAAGGGGGCCTGAGAAAGTGGCTTTTGTCTTAATAGGGGTGTCCAACCTGCTGCCCGAGAGCTGCATGCAGCCCAGAATGGTTGTCAGTGCAGCCCAGCACAAAACCGAAAAATTATTTAAAACATGATGACATGTTTCTGTGTGATTACATGTCACAATTTATTTAGTGTGTGGCCCAAGAAAACTCTTCTTTTTCCAGTGTGGTGCAGAGACTTCAAAGGGTGGACACCCCAGTTAGAAGGTCTAAGTGTGAAGGTGAGAGATAAAGCAGGTAAGTGGACAGGGAGAAGTTAGCAATTTTAAAATGGGTGTCAGGAAGGGTCCCACTGAGAAGGCAAGACTGAAGGAGCTAAGGCACAGCTGTGCATCTGTCCTGGGAAAGAGCATTCCTGGCCCATCTCCCACCCCCCCCTTCTCTGCCCCTGTAGAGAGAGCACAGAGCTCTAGGGCAGGAATGCCTGGCTTGGTCCAGAGTATCTTGGAGGCCAGGGCCATCAGCCTGAGGGCCTGGGGCAGAGGGAGCCTAGGGCATTTAGCCAATGAAAAGGCTTTGGTATTTGCTCTGGTTGCATTGAAAAATAGGTTGTGAACACAAATGCAATCTGACTTTAGAAAGAGAGGTGGGGCACCTTCATCCCTCCCACATATACTAACTGTCTGCACAGAAATAGCAGATGAGGCAAGTTGGGGCTGTGGGAGAAAGGGGAGGAGTCCCTGTAACCTCAACTGGATAAAGGGCTGTGAAGGGGCAGACACAGAGTGGTCTCAGCCATTGGCAGTCTGATTTTTCAGAGACTTTTTTGAATTTTCTATAGCTCTTAGGCTTGTGAAAACAGAACCCTTTCCTGTATAAGCTTGTGCATCAAGAACATGCTGTTTCCTTAGCAGAGGCTGATCTGCTTTATCCCGATCAGTAGATTACTGCATTAAGGAAAAGCCTTTCCTGCTTCCTTACAACTCACTGCCTCCTTGAAATAAACAGTTGGAATGCTTCTTACCTAACAAGGTCTGAAATGTTGAATTGGATTGCATCTGTGTGCTGGTGCTTCTCTTGGATAGTCACGCCTGCATTAACACAAACGTGAACTTTTTCCCCCTGGGAAAACCCAACTTTCTTTCACTGACAGTGTTTTAACTACTTTTCTTCTTAACTACAGGGAACCATTTTTTCCTTATGGTCAATAAGGCATCTGGCTGATGAGCAGGGTGGCGAGGCCTCTGGAGCCTGTGGGGGCACAGGCGCAGACCTGGGAACCCGAGGATGACGATATGGCAGAAGGCGATTTAGGGTACGGCCTCGGAAGAAGGCCCGGCGGTATTTGTGAAGTGCAAACCTCACCTTTTTTTACATCTAGAAAAATATCAGGTGAAAGGAACTTTAGCCCTCCCCCATTTCCAGGAAAGGGGGAAGAAAGAACTGGTGCTGTTTTTCAATATTCCAGGCCTAAGGGCTTGCAAGATACACACCCCTTCGGGTCCAGAACATCCCATTGCAGACAACAGAGTAGACCCGGTAAGGATGCCTGGTGCCCTCTTCCTCCTCCTCCTCTCCCCCTGTGAATTTTAGTGCTTCTACCCTTCCCGCACATGGAAATGGGTCACCAGAGTGGATTTTAGAAATTTATCTTTCTTCTTCTCTGGAGATTGGTGATGGTTCAAGAGTAATTGATGCTTGTATTTCCAAGAATTGTTCAAATTGTCAAGTACACTAGTTATTCTGTATTAATACATAGTGATATCAGTACACAATTACCTACCTTGCTTTTTTGGTGACATAGTGGTACACTTCATTTATTCTTTATTTCTTACCCAACAAATATTTATCGGGTACCTATTAGGTGTCTGGGACAGTTCTAAGCTCTGTGAGGCACATTACTGGAAAAATAGTCAAAGGCCGTAATGTCATGGAGTTTGTACTTTAGTAGAGGAGACAGAAAATAAACCCATAAATCTGGAGCTAAGTGACATCAAGCGGTGGTGAGTGAAGGGACAGTGAGTGAGTGGAGGGCCTGGGGCATGGCTGTTTCAGCAAGGGTCAGCGAAGCCTCTGGAGGGAGGTGACATTTGAGCACCCCAAGCCTGGTGCTTATCTGGGGAAGGAGTGTCCCCTTCAGGACACACGTAGATCTGGTTATCTTAGGGATGCTATGAAGTCCTCAAAACTTACCGCAACAAAATTAACCTCAACTTACTGTAATTAAAAACCAATTCTCCCATACATTAAGGAGAGAGTAAAATCGGGAATCATACTGCGATGGAGTGACACGTCTCCGCAGGGCCCGGGAACTCGTGGCTGGGTGCGTGCCTGTGCTGGGGCACAGCTCTCCTGAGGCTGAGTCTCCTGTAATCCACGTTGTACAACCTCCCCGACCCATGCAGGACAGGAATTAGAGCAGCGCAAACATACTTTAAGAAACCTGGTTTCAGGTTTACAAACAACTGTTGTAGCTGGGGATCTATCCTCATCCCTCAAAATTCTTGAAATTAGGATGGGATTATTTATACATTGTTCTTCCAAGTCCTTGGAGCAGGGCTGTCAAACTCATTTTCACCAGGGGCCACATCAGCCTTGCAGTTGCCTTCAAAGGGCCGAATGTGATTTTAGGACCGTGTAAATGTAACTGCTCCTTCACTAGGGGCAAGGAGCTTGATGCTGCTGCCAGACAGAAACAAGGAGCCGGGCCGGACAAAACAAGGTGGAGGGTTGGATTCAGCCCATGGGCCTTGTATTTGCCACCTGTGCCTTAGAGGACATACACTGTTTTGCAAGCAAGACGTTGAAAACTGAACACGAAGCGCAGCCGCCTTTCTAAAAACGTGGGGCAAACACTGGGATGGAAACAAGATGTAACAGGAAGAGAACGAGCTCTTATCTTGTCTTATGCACTTTTCTCTTTTTACCGAAGTTGACCTGATCATAGGTAAGAATATTGTGCAAATTTCCTAATAGGTTATTTCCAAATTACCAGAAATCTAATGGGAAATTGATATTTGATAATTTATGAACAAATATCTTTATTTTAGTTGAAGGAAATGTGTTTTTTTTCCCCTAATAGATTCTAATTCAGAATTATCAAGTGTAGAATTAAAGCAACGTCTTGATGAAACATTAGAGGTAAGTACTCTGGCAAATATAAAAATTTTCTTGTGAATCGAAGTCAGTCCGGCCTGTTGGGCCTGTGGGGAGTAGGTGTTTCTGTGAGGGGTGCCTGTCCTGTGGGAAACAGCAAGCCCATCTTAGTGTGTGTCCAGTTTAGTGTATGTTTCTGACTCTTTGGGTTCTTTTAAAAATATTTTATTTATTTATTTATTTATAAATACAGCAGAAGGGGAAGAGAGAGGGAGAGAAACATCAAAGTGTGGTTGCTTCTCGTGCATTCCCTACAGGGGACCTAGCCCCACAACCCAGGCGTGTGCCCTGACTGGGAATGGAACTGGCAGCCGTTTGGTTTGCAGGGCAGTGCTCAATCCACTGAGCCAGCCAGGGCTTTCTGTGACTCTTTGAAAGCTTCTGTAACAAAGTACCACACACTGGTGGCCTCAAACAACAGATCTCTTCTCTCAGTTCTGGAGGCTAGAAGTACGAAATCAGGGTTTTGGGGGCCATATTCCCTGAGAGGACGTGAGGAGGATACTTTGCCTCTGGTAGTTGTCCCCAACAATCCTTGTCCTTGGCATTCCTTGGCTTGTGGCTGCCCCACTGCAGTCTCTGGTGTTTTATGGCATTCTCCCCTGTGTGTCTGTGTCCAAGTTTTTCTTGTTTTATAAGGACACCAATCATTAAGTTGGGGCTTAGCTTAACCCAGTCTGATCTCGTTTTAACTTAATTATATCTGCAAAGATACTATCGCCAAATAAGGTCACATTCACAGTTCCAGGAGTTAGAACCTGGACATTTCTTTTGTGGGGACACAGTTCAGCCCATAATAACTACTGGAGCTATGTGAATGATCATGTGCTCATTTTATGTGGCCTAGGGATTCTTTCCCCCCAGATCCTTAGCTGTGTGGCCTAGGAGGGTAAAAGCAAAGGATTTGGGCTTTGAGTTACAAATAGCACCCGATAGTGAGGCTCTCAATTTTGGCCTGTCTGGTCCAGTTATAGCGCCTGTAGGAACTTCTAACCTCTTTTATGATGAGCTCAGAGTGCTTTGAGTCAAACTGCATTTTGAGCTTACGTGTAGACTCAACAAATTGATCGTTTGGCATTGCACATCTTGCAGATAAGAAGACTGATTTTATTTCTTTCCTCAGGAGGTAGAAATTTTGAAAACTGAACTTGAGGCATCTCAAAGACAACTTGAAGGTAAAGAGGAAGCACTGAAAATCCTTCAAAGCATGGTACGAAGTTTTTTGAAAACTTCCATCACTTTCACATTCCAATACTCGTTCCTATGGTTTTAGCTTTTAAAACAAAAGCAGCAATGCCTGATATAATTCCATTTCTTTTTGAGGTTTCGATTTTCTAACAGATTAATTGAGGTATAATTTTCATGCTACAAAATTCACTTGTTTTCAGCATGCAATTCATTTTTACTAAACTTAGAGTCGTGCAACCATCACCGGTCTAATGTTAGAATGTTTTCAACACCCAAGAAAGGAACCTCTTGCACATTAGCAAGTCATGCCCCATTCCCATCCCTGATCTACGTTCTGTCTTACAGATTTGCCTTTTCTATTTCGTATAGATAGAATCATACAATGTGTCCAGATTCCTTTAGTTCCCATGTTTTGAGGTTCAAGCACGGTACTGCATATGTCAGCACTTTCTTGCTTTTTTGCCAACTCATGTTCCATTGCACAGATGTAGCACATTTTGTTTATCTATTCACCAGCCTATGGGCATTGGGTTTCCACTTCTTGGCCATCTGAATAATGGTAGTATGAATGTTTTTGTGCAAGTCTTTGTGTGAAAGATCCTTTCATGCATTCTCCCCTTCACTGGGAAGGAGCCAAACCAAGATCGTCTGACTTTTGAACTATCAAACGCTCCAGAAAAAAATGGTCTCTGTGGAAATTCTCATCTCAAATTAATTTGCTATTGCCTTAAAATAAAAATGCGAACTTCAGCCCTGTCCATTGTGGTTCAGTTGGTTACAGTGTCACCCTGTGCACCGAAAGGTCATGGTTAAAAAACAAACAAACAAACAAACAAACAAACAAACAAACAAACAAACATATATGTGTGTGTGTGTGTGTGTGTGTGTGTGTGTGTGTGTGTGTATATTTGAGAGAAAAAACATAACTTGGTGTTTTCTCCTGTGGAGAAATTGACCAGAAATTGAACTTGCAACCTATTGGTGTACAGGAGGACACCCCAACTAACTGAGCCACCTGCCCGGGGCCTGTAAGTTAGATTCCCAGTCAGGGCACCTACCTGGGTGCAGGTTTGGTCCCCAGGGGTGCATCCGGGAGGCCAGCTATAGATGTCTTCCTCTCACACTGATGTCTCTTCTCTGTTCCCTCCCCTCCCCCTCCTCTTTTCCTCCTCTCCCTTCTCCTTCCTTCTCCCTCCCTCCCTCTCTGCCTTCTTCTCCCAAATTAATACACGTATCCTTGAGTGAGGGTTTAAAAAATGAGAACTTCATTGTACACATAGGAGTAATTAGCAAGTTAATTTATACTGATGTAATTTTTATTTTTCTTAGGCAATATTTGGCAAAGCCACAAGTCATACCCAGGTGGTACTTCAAAAAACTATGGAACAAAAGAGATCCTTGGAGAAGGTATTTGTATTTTTAACTTAGACTCGTTTAATCCAAAAATCTTTCAAAGAGAATTTTCTTAAAGGTCACCTTACTAATGGATATGTCATTTGTGCATACCTTCTGCTAGACGTGCTTCCCTTTTGAAGGTTATAATCCAAAACAAGGTGTCAAATGGGCAGAGAATTAAGGTTTCTTTTATTTTCCCATTGTAAGGTAGTAGGAAGCCTGCCAAGTTGATACTTCCTGTTTTCCTTCTTTTCTTCCTCTGCTTCCAGAGCCTGCCTCTGAGTTCTGACCATCTCATCCTCACTGAAGACGTAGTTAGGAATCACCTTCGAAGGTCATGTGCCTTCTGTGCCTCTTGTACCCTCCACTGATGGGGCGGCCCTGGCTTCAGACTTCCAGGGGTGTATTTTGCTCGTGAAGTCCGCATGGCCTGATGATGAGAAACCTAGGTTTGGACCAGCAAATTTTAAGCTAAACAATCTGAAATTTCTCTTACAATAAGTAAGCTTAGGCAGAGCTCTTTTGAGCGCTAAAGAGGCATGTTATATGGGTTTACAAATGTCATAGACTCTTTTTGAGCAGTGATTGGTATTTTTCCCCCTCTTTATCCTATTTCTGTGAAATGATTAGATGATTGATTTCAGCTATTCACAATATCCTGAAGTGATTTTGTAAAATTTTCCATGAAAGTTACTATTTTCTTCCTACAGGAACTAAATGCCTTGCAGTGGAAAATAGAATTTGATCAGAATAGATTTAAAAATATAGAGGAATCTTGGACCCAAAAGTATGACAGGTTTGTATATTATGATTCCATCATTTTTGTTTGCAAATCTTTCAAGTGTGTGTAATTCAAATGTAGCTTAGGCTTTCTTCTTCTCTGAGCTAACTGTAAATATTATAAAATTCTTATTGCTTATCCATTTGCAGGTTCCATATCTTCATTAGTTCTATTTTCCTTTTAAAAATATAAAATATAAACAGTATTTTCAAATACAGCATAAGAGGCATTGCTTTCCGATTAATTTGAGTATGGACACTATTTTTTCAAACAAAATCTTTTAAGCAACTCTTTCATTAGTGTGATTTTAATAACTTTAAGTTTTAACATGTACTTTGTATAAGATCTGCCATTCAGAAATTGATTCGAAACCTTGGGTTACAGATGGCTTTATTACCTAAATGTTAAATTTATTATTTCCTAACTTGTAGTCTGATATAAATTGAAGGTTTATAGAAAACTTTTGAGCACAAAACAAAGAATTCTTATATGACTTCCACAAAGATTGCCCACATTTTGATCCTTTACATTTGCTTTATCATTCTCTTTCTTTGTCGTTGAATATGGAGATAGAAGTTTTTCTGAACCATAAGAATAAGTTGCAGGGACATTCTTTTTTAAAACCATAACATAATTATAAAAACCAACACTGTTTATTAATTTATAGACCTTATTTATATTTGCCAACTATCCTAATAATACCCCAGAGCAAAAGAGAGGGAAAAAATGTCTCCTGTTCAGGGTCTAATACAGAATCATACATTGCATTTGGTAGTGCCGTTTTCTATGAAACAGTTCCTCAGTGTTTCTTTGTCCCTTATAACCTTGGTAATGTTTGAGGAGGATGGGCCAGTTATTTTGCAGAAGGACCCACCGTGGGGATGTCTGTGCTTCCGGACCAAATGCAGGTTGCGTGTTTTGGGCAGGATCAGCCCCGACGCAATGTTGTCCTCTCGGTGCATCAGATCAGGTGTGAGGTGTTGCTTTGTCCAGTTCCTAGGTGGTGCATCTCCATCACTTGGTGTGGGTGTGGCATCTGCCCTCGTTCTACACTGCAGTCACCACTTCCCCCTTGTGATTACCGAGCATTTTGTGGGGAGGTGCTTTAAATTATGTAAACATACTGTTCCTCATCAGGCTCTCACCCAGTGGTTTTTACATCCACTGATCATTCTGCCTGAAGCAGTTGTTACTGTGATGGTTGCCAAATGGCAGCTTGGGTATTCCATCTTCCTTCTATAAGTATTGGCATATTACTGCAAGAGAGAACTTTTCCTTTCCCTATTTTTGTGTGTGTATGAATATGAACTTGTGGGTTCTTGCATTATTCAGTAGATTAAAGCTATTACTATCTTAATTTCTTTTGATGCCTAAAACTTTTCAACTTTGGTCAGTGGGAGTGCCATCAACTGGCTTCTGTGGCTTTTTGACACCTTTCTATCATTCCTTTAACACTCTTGCTTTCTGGTGCAAGACATTCTAGTCCGGAATGCATACAATATTAGGCACTTCCTCAAGGAGCCCTTGATCCTTTCAGTGGGGAATGGTGTTTGGAAGTCAGGGGCTGAGCACTAGGTAAGTTCATTGCTACCGGGGAGTCATTGCTAGAAGGTCCTCTCAAGGAACAGAGCTGGAAGACACGCCCCTCTTCTGTCTGTCATCTCTCTGCCATCTTCTATTTAGTATCTCTCCTCTCAGTCTGTTGAAAACCCTGAGTTCATACTCGTTTTTCCGGTTCCAGGCCACCACTATTTTAGCTTTGCCCCTTTCCACATTTATAACTTTCACAGTGCGAAACCCGGCTCCTATTACCCAATATATTTACTTATTTTTCCACCATAGACTATGCAGAAAGTAGCTTTAGAATTGCTATACATGCCATTGTAAAATCAAACCTACTAACCAGACTCCAGCACTTCCATGTAGTTTGGTTTTTGTTTTTCAGTCTGAGGAAGTTAAAAATCCTCTGTTCAAAAGTTACTTGACAGTTTCTTCTTTTTTCTCTTTAATATGGTTATGCTGTTCAATTGAGATAATGTGTTCCTGTTTGTATGTTCTTTTAAGGTTTTTTTCACCATGCTTGCTGATTTACTGATTTTGTTTCTTGTTTTTGTTTTTAATCCTTACCTGAGGATGTTTATTGATTTTACAGAGAGAGGAAGGAGAGGGAGAGGGAGAGAAACAGTGATGTGCGAGGAAAACATCAGTTGGTTGCCTCCTCTGTGCACCCCAACTAGGGATTGAACCTGCAACCTAGGTACATGCCCTGACCAGGAACCAAACCCACAAGCTTTTGGGTGTGGGATGATGCCCCAGCCAACTGAACCACCTGGCCAGGGATATTCCGTTTATTTTTGACTTTGTGAAACAGTGACATGCTTTCGGAAGTCAGAAATCGTCAGAAGGCTCCATTCGGAGAGGTGTCATTCTCCCCACCAGCTGCTCTCCCCCATCCCAACCTCCTGCCAGCCTTCATTCTCCTCTCCATCTGCAGATGCCCACCCTTATTACTTTCTGGTTTCTCCTTCCTGTGTTTCTGTCCACACAAAGGGGCAGATGTTTATGTTTTGTTATTTTCCCTCCTTTCTTATACAAAAGAATGTACTATAAATATTCTTTTGCATTTTGGTTTTCCATTTAATAATATATCCTGGAAATCACTCCATTGCACAGTGTACTCAACCGTTCTCCTGTATGTAGGCACTCAGGTTGTTTCCCGCATCTTTACAAGTGTACACAGGACAGCAATAAATAACCTTAACATATATAGGTTGTGTTGTTGGAGATGTATTTTATTCAGGATGATTTCTTAGAAGTAGAATTGCTGTGTCAGAAGTAAATGCATATATAGATTTACTAGGTGTTGCCAAATTCCTCTCTATAAGGCTTCTAGCACTTTGCACTCCTACCAGCCGCACAGGAGAGTGCCTGTTTCCCCACAGCTTCATGAAGAGGATATATTACTGTATTTTTCGGACTATAAGATGCACCCTCCATTTGGGAGGAAAAGGGGGTGTGTCTTATAGTCTGAATGTGGTTTGCCTGGCTCTGGCTGGGGGATGGTGGGCAGTGGAGCGGGGTCACAGGTTATTAAATATTTTAGCACATTTGTTGCTTCAAAATTGTTTTTCCTATTTCCCTCCTCTAAAAGCAAAGTGTGTCTTATGATTCAGTGCATCTTATAGTCCTAAAAATACGGTATATGGTTTAATTTTTGATAGTATTATTTAGCTAATTTGTTGATACATTACCCTTTCAGATACTCATCAATTAAGCAGAGTTGGCAGAAGATACTTTAATATTAGGTCTGCACAAAAATAGTTAACCAGCTAGTAAAGTTAATGCATTTTTTAAAAAGATTTTATTTACTTATTTTTAGAGAGAAAGGAAGGAGGGGAGAAAGGGAGGGAGAGAAACATCAATATTCAGGTTGCCTCCTGCACACCCCCGACTGGGGACGGAGCCCACAACCCAGGCCTGCTCCCTGATCGGGAATCAAACCAGTGAACCCTTGGTTTTCAGGCCGGGGCTCAATCCACTGAGCCACACTAGCCAGGGCTAATAATGCATTTGACTGAGTAGTGTTTTTTAAATTACAGTTTATAAAGTAATTTATAAAGTAATTTAAGTGGATGCCTGACAGGTATTTCTGGTTTTGATTCTTTCTCAGCTACACAGAAAGGTTTAGAGTATGTTCAAAACCTTTCCACATTCCTTTAAGTTGTCTTTATTTATGACATATAAATTCTAGACTGTTTTGAAATAGGAAAATTAAATTTAAGTTTTTGTGCTCAAATTATGGGATTAAAATGTACTTCTTAGTTAAGTACAAAGTGCTTATGTTTTGATTATGTGGAGGGTACTTTTTTCCAGGCTCAACTGTGAAAGGGCAGTCCTCAAAGAAACTTTGAAACTAAAAACAGAAGAGATTAAAATGCTGAAGTCTGACAATGCAAGTAAGTAAAGAGCGGTATTTTAATGGCCCTTTTAAAATGTTACATTAGAAGGTTCATTTTATACAGAGTGTCCTGTGCTTAGAGCACACATGTCAATGGAGACAAAGCGTGAGTGTGTCTAAGTCATGTATTGTAAGGATAATAGAAAAAGTGCATCATTTAGGTTTTTTTAAAAACATTTTTTAAAAGGTGAAATTCACATGACAAAATTGCCATTTAAAAGTGAACAGTTTTAGCCCTGGCTTGGTAGCAGTTGGTTAGAGCATCATCCTGACTCACCAAGGTTGCGAGTTTGACCCCCAGTCAGGGCACACACAGGAATCAACCAATGAGTGCATACATAAGTGGAACAATTAATTGATGTTTCCTGCTCTGCTTCTCCTCCATCCCCCCTCTCTAAATCAGTATTTTAAAAAGTGAACAGTTCAATTGGTAGTTACAAAATAGTCATAGGAAAGTAAGTAAAGCATAGGAATTATAGTCAATGACATTGTAATAACTATGTGTGGTACTAGTTAGGGTATTGGAAATATCATGGGGAACACTATGTAGGTATATGATTGTTTAACCACTGAACTTAACACCCAAAACCAATGCCTAATAAAAAATAACAAAAAAGTGAACAATCCATAACATTCATAATGTTGTGCAACCATCTAGTTCTATAACATTTCCATTCCTCCAAAATGAAGCTTCGAACCTATTTGTCCTTATGATATGGATTTTATACTCAGTGTAAAACAAAGTGGTACAGTCTCTGATATTTGAGGAACCTGAGCAGAAGTATGTTTCATTGAGACACTAATAGGAAAGGTTTATAATTGTATAGTTGTGTAACACTATTTGCCTTCAAAAGTGTTTTCTGTGACTTTTCCCCTAATATAATTATTCTTAACCTTTGAACATATTATTTTTCTCATTAAGAATTTGAAATTTAAGCCCTGGCTGGTGTGGCTCAATGGAATGAGTACTGGTCTGCAAGCCAAAGGGTTGCTGGTTTGATTCCCGGTCAGGGCACATGCCTGGGTTGTAGGCCAAGTCCCCAGTGGGTGGCATCCAATTGATATCTCCCTCCCCCCCCCTTCCCCCTCTCTCTAAAAATAAGTAAGAATAAAGTCTTTTAAAATCTTTAAAAGATATTTTAAAAATTGTAAAAAGAATATTAAAGTGTTTCAAGAATATTAAAGTGATACCAACTCTTTATGAAATTTTGAGATGTTAATTCTCCCTTCTAAGCAAAAACTATTTTAAAGTGGTCATTTGAAAGGGATAAAATGAGCTCTAAACGAGTTCCTGGGCCTGAGAGAGGCCCTGTACATGGTGTAGTTGAGTGACCTGTGGCAGTGCCCCTGGTGGGGACTGCGCACACACAGGACTTCTTAGTGCCAATTACTGGAGCAGGTGCAGACTTCTCTGGGAGGCTAGTTCTCCAGGCAGAAGCTGCTCATAACCACAACTCCTCCCCTTCTTTCCTACCCTGCACCCTGCAACAAGAGGGAAAAGTTACTGTTTTCTGCTCTCCAGTAGATAGCTGGGCCCTTGCTCTAAATGGTCTGCAATGTGAAAACTCCCAATAGGAAACTGATGTGGACTCTGGCCCATGGGGTCCGTGTGTTGTGGCTGGGACAAATTCACACGGACTACAGAAGTCCTATGGAGAAAATGGGACAGCATGGACACCCTCTAAGTGAGAGAGAGGGCCGTGACCCCTGCCTGGACAGGCTTTTATTGCTTTTCTGGATACTTTATATTTAGGATAGTGCTTGTTTACTATGCACAGGTTCACTGTAGGTAATTACGTTTTACAGATAAGAAAGGAAAGAATGCTGCCAACTACTTCAAAGAGAAGAATGTTGCCATCAAGGAAAAAAGTGGTTGAACTGGTTACTCTCCATACTTAGAAGGTTTAGCACAGATTTTAGGAAGTTACTTTAAAGATAATGCAGTAAACATTTGCTGCCTCAATTCAGGTTAAGGGAGTTTTAGCAAAAGCTAGCCTCGAGCCCTGGTTGGTATAGGTCAGTGGATTGAATGTGGGCCTGCAAACCAAAGGTTTGTGGTTTGATTCCCAGTCAAGGCACGTGCCTGGGTTGCAGGCCAGTTCCTAGCAGGGGACACATGAGAGGCAACCATACATTGATATATCTCTCCTTCTCTCCTTCCCTTCCCCTCTAAAGATAAATTAAAAAACAAACAAACAAAAAAAACCCACGATACTTCCACATTGGAAATAACAACATTTTTGATACCACTATTCCATCAGATTTTCTGGATGGGGCCAAATTTGGGGGGCAGTGCCTGTTGTATATGCATTGCTTATAAGAAATAAGCATAGACGTTGATGTAACAGGATTAGGTGAGGCTACAGTTGGCCCTCAGAACTAACGCTTCCTTATATTTCCCTTCCCAGGTTTGACTCAACAGTATTTGGAAGCCCTTGCTATGCTTGATATCAAAGAACAGAAGATGGTTCAGGAAACCACGTGCAGGGATAAAAGTGACTTTACAGAGGTTTCAGGTCTTGAGGTAGGTAAGCAGGTATGAAAGCTTAGCAGGATGGAAATTTTCTTCTTTCCTTTCTGCCATCACCATCTATTTATTACATGTTCTAAGACAGCAGCATACCTACCAATTTGAGACTGAGAGATCTGTGGTTTGCCCAGGTCAGTTCTTGTCTTGCTGGAACCATACCTTTCATGCATAATATTCTTGGACATTTAAGGGACATGCTAGCCACCTCCTTCCTTTTATCTTTTTTTTACAGGTTTAGCAGAAGCTATGTTAGTAGGGTCTCACATTACATAATCATAGACTTTTTTTTTTATGAGTGGCCAGATGATTGTTTTTCTCATTGACATTAACATTTAGTCATTTTTGAGAATGCAGCTCTCCCTGACAGGAGCTGCCAGTGATTAATGCAGGGCCAAGTGCAGGCACAGGAAGTCCACACTGTGGATGTTAGTACTTACTTCATTAGATCAAGTTCCCACCAAGGATTCAGAACTATATGAAACTGTGCCAGGTTAAAGGTGAAGGGAGAGAATGAAAAGGAGGAAGGCAAAATTCCAGTATGTTTTTGTTCCAAGTAACATTTTCCTCATTTGCATGTAATTAATTTTCACTTGGATCCTAAAACCCTGGCCTCAGGTTCCTTCTGTTTTTGTTTTCAGTGTCTTTGAATCAGATGCTTGGCTAGAAATGTACGTGTGTGGGTATGTGTGGGCATGCCCCTTCATTTGTGCCCAGCTAAACTCTGCAACACTTAGTAACAGATAATGCTTTTGGATTTCAAGCTTGCCGTCCTTGGAGCCTGCCTTTGTCATGGTCCTGGAGGGAACCCCTGTTCCTGTGCCAAAATGGCAGCATCTGCTCAGAATATGCTTCTTCAGGTCAAGCAAGAGGTAACAGTAAAAGCTTTGATTTTGTTTCTCTATGTAGGGTAAGGGAAGGAGGGAGGGAGAGAAACATCAATGTGTGGCTGCCTCTCATGTGCCCTGTACTGGGAACTGGCCTGCAACCCAGGCATGTGCCCTGACTGGGAAATTGAACCAGTGACCCTTTGGTTTTCAGGCCAGCCCTCAATCCACTGAGATACACAAACCAGGGCTTTTTTCTCTATTAATAGTAGAATAAATGGACTTATCTGCAATTACTAGCTTCATTTTAGTAGGCATTGGTGATGGAACTTACACTTAATTTTGTATAACAACATGAACTTATAAATTATTTTATTTACATGGTTCCAGAATTACTTGGCATGACATTGTAGTCACATAAAGTTGTTTGCCTAAGATTGTAGTTAATATTTCCTGGATTTTATTTCTTTTGTTTATACATAACTCTAAAATCACTATATATTAGAGTAGCAATTTTCAAACAGTGTGCCACAAGAATTTTTAAACCATACAATACCTGACTATTTAGTCAGAGACACTGACCTGTTTTCCCTTAGACTGGCAAGTAAAAATTACAACAGCCAACATCATAACAATAGCCATCCTGTGTGAGTGAATCAAAATTATAGCTATTTTAGTCAGATTTGCAAAAATATATATTTTTGGTGTGTTGCAGAATTCTAATAATTTTTGTGTCATGAGATATAAAAGGTTGAATATTGCTGTATTAGGGGGAAATGTACACTTATGCTTAAAGTTACTGGGATCCTCAATACTGATTAGCAGGAAGATAAACATGAGGCTTATAAGAAAAGCAACAAGGTACTGTGGAAGGAATATTTGCACTAGCCAGAGGTAGGTGTGAATCTTACAGCCATCATTTTCTAGCTATATGGCAAGGGTAATAATAACTAGTTTGGAGGGTTGTAAAAAATAGAGGAAGTACACATATGTTTAGCGATGCCCACCATTTAGTCAAATGATCACTGCCATTATAATTACGCTTTAATAACAAATACAGTGCATGGGCCATCATTTAAAAAATATTTTACCTTTACTGAAGGTATGGAATTTAAGGTCTTCAGACTATATAGAAAAAGTAACAGCTAAACATTAACGATTCACTAGGAAAAGTATAAAATCACACAAATCAGAGTCAGGGTCAACTATATATTGGAGGTATCTGAAAGATGATATTCAAAGTTATTTTTGGTGGTATTGTCTGGAACAGCCAGCCCAATGCAGTGCTGAAAGGCAGCCTTTGATAGCCTCAATTCTCACTAGTTGGGGAGAACACACACAGGGCCTGTGTAGGATAATGGGGTCCAAGAGTTGAATTACCAGAGAATTGAGGGCACCACAAAGGACTTTTCTGGTATTCTGGTTCAGAGTGGGCAGTTACTGCAAAAGAGAACCGGCAAGATTTAAGGCAGATAATACAGACCAGACACAGACTACCAGACCCATGCTAGGTGGGAAGATTCCATTTGCTAATCTGACTTAGCAGTCAGGCAAGAATCATTCTGGGCTTTCCTCTGACATCTCTCAAACTTTCTTTCAAAACCAGCTGGAACTTTTGCAGAAGAGTAAAGAAGAAGCATACATAATGGCAGATGCATTCAGAATTGCCTTTGAGCAACAATTAATGAGGAAAAATGACCAGGCACTAAGATTAACACAAATGGATAAAATGTGTAAAAAAGAAACAAAATGGATAAATTGGAAGCAAGTTCAAGAGAATGGTAAATATGAACTATAATGGCAATAAATCATGTGTAATTGAAGTTATTTTTTGTTATAATTTGACTATGCACATTTGATAGGATGGATAATGTAACTGAAATTTTGCATATAGTTGTGATTTATTTTAAAATTTAGTATCTATGGGAAGAAGGGGGGCATTGGATGTTACATATGCAGATGAGCGATTGGGAGCAGCAAAACCATAAAATAACAGGAAAATCTTTTTTAGTGTACTTCTGTTTCATTGAAACAAGACCACATTTAGTGGAGGAAGGAATGCTAGATAGTTAGTACTATATGGTTAAAGGGAAACTGCTAAGAGGGAAGTAATATTGAAAATGGTTGTGAAACTCACATTAAATGTATCGAATTAAACTTTCTTGACATGCATGATTCTGGAGGAGACTTTTTTTTTTTACAAAGAATACCAGTTTTTTTTTAAGATCTTTGTTTTTAATTTTTATTTATTTATTTATCTTTAGAGGGGAAGGGAAGGAGAGAGGGAGAGAAATATCAATGTATGGTTGCTTCTTGTGCATCCCCTGCTGGGAACTGGCCCCTGCTGGGAACTGGACTGCAACCCAGGCATGTGCCCTGACTAGGAATCGAACCACAATCTTTTGGTTCGCAGGCCCATGCTCAATCCACTGAGCTACACCAGCCAGGGCCTGGAGGAGACATTTTGGAGTAGAGGAAATATCTTAAATTGGATAAATTAATAAAATATTCTTATAATAAAACAAGTTAATGTTTAGTTCATAAGCCTATCAAAAGTTCATGGACATTTTAAAGTATTACCATATTAATGTAAACAAAATATATGAAGATGATATGAGAATAAAATTACAGTTGAAGTTGGTTATCCAATATATACAAAGTAGCTATTTTAAAGGAAATTTTAGTTTAAAATGTCAGTATCGGTTTTCATTTATCAATATTATTCAGAATTCATATTGCTGCAATTTAAAATTTCAATTTGAAATCATTTATCAGTCAAGAAAGATTAAAGTGAAGTTCTTAAGAAATTTAAATGCTTTGTTAAGTCTGACATGACTATATTTCCAAATATTTTATAATACGTTAATATCCATAATCCTTAGTCCAATATATCTCATTTTACTGGCATGCAAACAGAAGGGTTTTACTGGCAATTCCCCGTCAGGGCTCATGGTTGTGGGCCAGGTCCCCAGTTGGGGGGAGGGGACATTGATGTTTCTCTCCGCCTCTTTCTCCATCCCTTCCACTCTAAAAATTAAATAAATTAAACCTTTAAAAATAAAAATTAGAAGATGAACTTCTGGATTAGTAAGCATCTTGTAATATTAAATATGAAACTTTTAATAGGTACCTATTTTATTTAATTTTTTTCTTTTCAAATAATACATATTAGTAATAAATAGTATATGGTCAAGTGTTGTGAATTTTAGATTCACTGATTAAACTTCACTCATCCCTTTGCTAAAATGGTTAAGAAGGGATAATAAGAATGGCAGTAAAGAAGAACCATGAACATAGGTTAAAAAAGATTATAAAAGCTATATATTTAGAGTGCTCATCAGATGGAAGTCAGGGCAAAAAAGGAAAATCTGTTCTTCATTTCTCATACTTAAAGAGGCATTCCACATTGTCCTAAAGTTAACTTAAAAAGTTTTTGTGACATGAGACTTACACAGGCCATTAAGCCGATATAATGGCTAAGTCCTCCACAGTAATTTATGGTAAATACAGAATCAATATATTTTTTTAAAGATTTTGTCTTAGAGAGATGGGGAAGGGAGGGAGAAAGACAGGGAGTGAAACTCAATGTGTGGTTGCTCCTAGCACACCCACATTGGGGGATATGGCCCGCAACCCAGGCATGTGCCCTGACTGGGAATCAAACCTGCAATGCTTTGGTTTGCAGGCCTGCACTCAGTCCACTGAGCTACACCAGCCAGGGTACAAAATCAATATTAATATGGCTGTTTTCTATAATAATTCCTTGACAAAAACATAAGGTATAAAATAACTTCAATGTCCAACTCAAGGAAGATGATTTTGCAAGGGAAATAAAATTCAGTCCATGCACTTAGCCTTTTAGGGATGGATGGAAAACATGAGGAGTATCTAGTTCTACATGGACAACAAATGTGTAGGTGGCCTCCTCAGGCATCCCACCCCTTCTCCCAGCCACGTCCTTCACAGCAGCTGGACTGTTTCCAAGGCATCCTCTTTGACAATAGCCTTGGCGTTCTGTGTTGTTAATTAAAGGCAAATCCATTTGGAAATCTATCTTGTTTGTTTTGATGGACTGTAGGGAAAAGAGGAATGAGAGAAAGAGGAAAAGGAGGGAAAAGAAGGGTTAAAGTGATCTCATGAGAGCTAATCACATTCTGTCACCTGTATAGAAGCCTCTCCCACCCCCACTATGCATGGAGGTTGGCCATAAGGATAGTTCTATGCAGACAAAGCTGGGTTTTTACGAGGTAGACTTATATTCATTTCAGCACTTGAGTTTGTACTCATTTTATATTCCAGAATTCCCACCTTTCTTGGCTAGTAATAAAACTCAGGGACTTTTCCATTAAAAATATGATTTCAGAGGTATATCTCCCAATGCTTGTTTTCTGTTAAGGCACTGACAGACTCAGAAGCAGGATTTAAAGAATTGATTCATCTCTGAAAAGCCTTTACAAGTCCTTAAAATTTCATTAACTCTTGACTGAGTTTCTTAGTGACAAGCTTTTGATTCATTTTACTAGTATATTTTCAATAATCTTAACCAGTATAGGATTATTATTACAGACTGTTCTCTTATGTGTGGTTACCAATGAAGCTGTCAACTTTTCTTCTTGAATGGCAGCTTAGCCAAGTTCTGAGTGACAGGTTATAAGCCTCGTTCCTTTTTTAAAACTGCAAACAGAGACAACTCATCAAAGTTGCCAAGGGTATCACTTGTCTGGCATGTTCCCCTTGCCAGAGCTGATCTTGGAAGAGGTCAGGTGTGAGCCCCAGTCGCTGCACTTGATCTGCTGTCTGTTCTCCATGAGACCATTTACAAAGCATTTCAAAAACAATTTTGACATTTTCCTTGTATAAATCTACAAATTTTGCACCTTGTAGTATAAATTGCATCCTCTCTATGGATGAAGCAGAACATTAATGTCCACATTTCAGGATGTGGACTTTCAACATCGTCAGTATCTGGGCTAGGTGCTTTCACAGCGCATTTTTTTTTTTAGGGGTGGGGAGAGTAACTACAACTTTAACCATTTGTAAGTAATGTTAAGCACATTTACAGTGTTGTGTAACATCACCACCATCCATCTCCAGAACTTTTTCATCCCAAACAGACTCTGTACCTATTAACCGCTAACTGCCCACCCTCCTCCCATAGCAGATGCTCTGTAATTTAATGGCACGGCAATCCTGAGGCATAGGTACTGATACTCTTATTCTAGAGCTGAGGAAGTGAAACTCGGAGCACCTGTCCAAGGTCATGCAGTTAGCAAGTGACAAAAAGGATTCAAGTCCAGATATTTCTGACTCTGAAGCAGAGTTTGCATGGTTCAGAGGCCACTGGCCTGTAGAGGTTTTTTGGGGTCTTCATAGTATTCTTAAGTAATGTGGGTCATGTGGCTGAAGTTTAAAATTGGAAGGTATCACATACAAATCAGGATTGCTGTGCTTCCTCTGGAAGACTCAGATGATCTGGTAGCATGGGCTGCGTGCCTTCCCGTGGGCAGCCATTGTTGCGAGCTGAGGAGCAGCGACAGCATCCGACAGAATGGCGGGGCATTGCTCTGGCCTCTCGCTGTGGCCCTCTCCTTGCATTTGCCAACCAGGCTCTAAAGCCCGAGCTCTCCCCACTCCGCTGTGCTGCCTGACTCACTCGCACTCAGGGTCTCCTGAGGAGGACAGCCTCCTGACTGTGCAACGCAGTAGCCTTGGTTCATACTTACCACTGTTCCTGGGAGTTCACATCAGGGAGTGTCTTTTTTATGTCTCAGCTGGGTTTTCATGTTCGATTTTAGGATCACTATCACAAAGGACTAAGAAGACCTTAGGGCAGAGACTGTTGGGGATGCTCCCTTCTGAAAACAGTTCTAAGAGGACTGAAGACCAGGATAATCCTCGGGAAGTCTTTAAAATGCTAATAGATTTGGTTGGTATCTTTGCCTTCTCTTGTTAGGGATTGTGGTTAAGCTAATCTTTTTGCTTCCTATTAATTCAGCTTTACCACTCCACACTTGCCTTTTATACCCTTTCCCCAGACCCTCCTCCAGAGTTACAGCCTCCATCTCCTTGAACTCTCAGCATGCTCTGCCTGCCACTTCCCCCGTCCATGTTCTTCCTGTGCAAGTTTAAAGCTCCACCTCTGAAAAAGGGGGCTCCCCATAATTAACTCCAGGCATCTCTGTCTTCTGCACTTAAATACATAGTTCATGGCAAGACCTTCCTTCTCTTTACTCAGGAATTTTTAAAGTAGCCATCCACTTCCTGACACATTATGTCCTTTAATCATGACCCCAAGCTTGAACTCAGCCCTGCTATCCCCATTTCACAGGTGACCAGAGACTCACATTATATGAATGTACTTATCTATAGGAGAGTGTTATTTATTTACATATAAATATATAAAAACAATGTTAAATATAGGTAATTTCAACATTCTTTTACAGAGGTAAGTACAGGTTTGTTGTATATATTTATATGTATATTTTATTTATACACACACACGTATATGTATTTCTGCCTGCTCTTCAGACAAAATTTTCAGCAGTAGTTTTCTGTTCTTCCTTTAAAAAATATCCTCAAGCCCTGGCTGGTGTGGCTCAGTGGCTCAAGTGCCCATCTGGGAAACAAAGGGTCACTGGTTCCATCCCCAATCAGGGCACAGCCCAGGGCTGTGGGCCAGGCTCCCAGTAGGGAGCATGCAAGAGGCTACCACAAATTGATGTTTCGCTCCCTTTCTCCCTTCCCCTCTCTCTAAAAATAAATAAAATCTTCAGAAAAAAATATCCTCAGTAACATATAGCATAATGCTTGGGAATCAGTGGACACCTAATTAATTTATTCATATTGATTGACTGGACAGATTGGAGAATGAACATTTTGATAAAATAATTCTGAGTATAGGTCTGTATCATTTATTGACTGGCATTTTTTAAATCTCTGTGCATGCAGCTGAATGATAAAGAAGAGGCTTTGGCTCATCAGAGAAAAGTTAGTTACATGCTTGCTCGGGCATTGGAAGACAAAGACACAGGCTCAAAAGGGAATAACAGCAATTTTCCATTAAAACCTCCGCAGCAGAAAACTACAGAGCTCTCTGTTTTGCATGATCCTGTACCTTCAAGTGTTCAAATTTTTAATTCTCTGGGCTGCATTTGTCTACCCCAGCATCTTCATATAGGTCAAATTGATGCAAGAACTCTGAAAAGATCCCATTCTTTGCCATCAAATATCATGTTTGGAAGACAAAGCAGTTGAAATTAGAACCAAGAACTGTTTATATCAAAAGACTTTGAAAAAGGATTGTGTAAACATTGTAACATATTCAGTTGTATATTTTCTGGTTATTTCTAAATTTTAGGAGGCAGCTTAAATACTCAAATGTTTCCTACAAGAAATGTGTTAGTATTCTGTGTAGACATTTTATTTATAAAATATATCACTATATTTTTAAAATTTTCCAATATTTACCAACAACTTAAAAACAAAAATATTATTCTATTGGGTTAGCCAAAAAGTTTGTTTGGTATTTTTCTGTACGATGGCTCTAGTCGTGCTTAGCTGTCAACTTCATTCGAAATAATTTTGTTAGATTACTTTTTGACAGCTGTCATATCAAGGTGTGTTTTAAAAAATCTTACAAAAATTGGTGAATTTTGGTGTAGCCATTTTAATATTGAAGATGGAAGAAAATATGCAACACTTTTGACATATTATGCTTTATTATTTCAAAAAAGGTAAAATTGCAACTGAAATGCAAACAAAGATTTGTGCAGTGTATGGAGAAGGTGCTGTGACTGAGCAAACATGTCAAAAGTGGTTTGCGAAGTTTCCTGCTGGAGATTCTCTCTGGATGATGCTCCACAGTCTGTTAAACTAGTTGATAGCGATCAAATTGGGACGTTAACTGAAAAAATCAATGTTATGCAGCACAGGAAATAGCTGACATACTTAAAATATCCAAATCAATAAGGTTATTACTGAAAATGAAAAATGTCTTTTTATTTTATGGAAAAAAAACTAAATGAACTTTTTGGCCAAACCAGTATTTTGAGAAAAACAAAAAGTTATTTAACTATTTAGATTGAATATGGGGATCTTTGGCTCAAGCAACAACATAATGTAAATTAATCCTCTAAAAAATAACAATGCCTAGGAGTGAACGTATGTTAATTTTGGAAATACACTTCTTTTGTTTTGTGTTTCTCAGGATTTTTCCTTTGTGACATAAAGTTTAAAATATTTTCCTTAAGTTAACCTCAGTTAAAAGTTACTATGGTGGGAATTTGGTAGAAGTATATTCAAAATCATAGCTAGTTCGCTTCATAGTTTTGTTTTTCCTCCAAAGTGGTGACAGTTTGTAGCCAGATCTACACAAAATTCTGATGCCCATACCAGTCTGAATTAAGTTCTTGGTTTTGATGCTAAATTTTAGATCACTTAATTTTCTGTTTCTATAAATATTACATAGTAATAATCTTTAATTCCTTTTGGGAATATTGCTATATTAGTATCATCACATTTATGTTGAAGGAAATGTATTACATTGTCAGCAGTTATAATAAAACTTATCTAATTGAAGATCTGATGAAAAGATATGGCTTCACTAAATACTACTTAAATAACAGAGTATAAGGTAACAATATCAACAATACAGTTGTGTCAAAGGGAGAGCATTTAATTGGCATTAGTAAATGATAAAAGCTGAAAACTTGGCAAATAAATGTTTAAAAAAAGATATGATGAAGAGCTATTGTTATCAGATATTAAAATATATTGTTCTTCCCTGACTGGTGTGGCTCACTGGACTGAGTGACGTCCTGCAGACCAAAAGATCCCTGGTTCAATTCCAGTTAGGGCACATGCCTGGGCTGCGGGCCAGGTCCCCAGCTGGGAGTATGCAAGAGGCAAACAATTGATCTATCTCTTTCACGTTGATGTTTCTCTCCCTCTTTCTCCCTCCCTTCCCGTTTCTAAAAATAAATAAAATCTTAAAAAAAAAGTTCCCGACTAATAATATAAAACTACATTATTTAAAGGTTTTATCTATTTTTAGAGGGGAAGGGAAGGAGAAAGGGGGAGAAATATCAATGTATGGTTGCCTCTTGTGCATCCCCTGCTAGGAACTGGCCTGCAACCCAGGCATGTGCCCTGACTGGGAATCGAACCACGATCCTTTGGTTTGCAGGCCCATGCTCAATCCACTGAGCTACGCCAGCCAGGGCTAAAGGTACCTTATTTTAAAGCAGTGTGATACCAGCAGGTCAAAGGAATAGGAAAAAGACCATACACAGATCTACTATGTATAAGAATTTCATATAAAATAAAAGGTAAGAACCCTGGCCAGATAGCCAGTTGGTTACAGCATCATCCCAATACACCAAGCTTATGGGTCTGATCCCTTGGTCAGGGCACATAAAAGAAACAACCAATGTAGGCATAAATAAGTGGATAACAAATTGATGTTTCTTTCCCCCCCCTTTCCTTCTCTCTCAAATCAATAAAAAATTAAGGTAAGGTAAGGAAAGGATCTGGGATTATCTAATACTAAAATTAGAAACAAAAAAAGTCAAATTACAAAAACTAGAAAAGTTTTTTTTTTTTATTTTTTAAACATATTTTATTATCCCATTACAGTTGTCCCATTTCCCCCTTCATTCCCCTCCACCCTGCATACCCTCTCCCCCGAAAGGTTATTTTTTAATGTGTGTATATGTGTATATCTGTATGAAACAAATTTATATAAATGGATATTTGCAACACTCCAATTGGGGTGGACAAAGAATCTGAATCAACAGTTCACAAGAGGGATTAATACACAGAAATCAAAGATAAATTATGGTATCAAATTAGCAAAAGATCACAAAGATTATGTAAGTGGTAGAGATGATGAGGTAAACCAGCTAATTTAATGCAGTGTTGATGAATGTGTATTTGAGACCCTGTATTCAGTTTTGGGGGTCTCTACTCTGAAGTGAAATGGCTGGATTATATGGTAATTCCATTTTTAATTTTTTGAAGAAACACGTTTTCCGTAGCCTGCTGCACTGTCTTACTTTCCCACCAACAGTGTGCATAAGGGCCCCAATTTCTCCACATCCTCACCAAGACTTGTTAATGTCAGGCTTTTTAAAATAGTAGCCATCCTAATAGGTATGAAGTAATATCTCATTGTGATTTTCGCATTTTTTATTTTTATTTAATTATTTTTATCTTTGTCCAGAGATAAGTTTGTTCACTGATTGCAGAGTTCGAGGATGGGGGAGAGAGAAACATCAGTATGCTGCCTCCCACACACACCCTGACCAGGGATCAAACTGAAACTTAAGTGTGTGCCCTGATTGGGAATTCAACCTGTACCCTCTGGTGTATGGGAATGACACCTAGCCAGAGCTCACTGTGGTTCTGAATTGTATTTCCCTAGTGATTAGTGATGTCGAGCATTTTTTCATATGTTTATTTGCCATAATATCTCTGGTGAAATGTCTAAGTGTTTTGCCCAAATTTTAATTAGATTTAAAATTTTTTTAATTGGATTTTTATGGATGCTTTATATATTCCAGATATTAACTCCTTATCTGATATATTCCAATTTGTATATTTTTAACTTTTGTTGCCTGTTCTTTTGAGGTCATATCCAGGAAGTCCTTGTCAAATCTAATAAGGTCATGAAGCTTTCTTCCTGTTTTTTTAAAGTTTTTATAGTTTTAAGTCTTATGTTTAAGTCTTTGATCCATTTTGAATTAAATTTTGTATATGGTATAAAGTTAAGGGCTTCATTTTTAAGAACTACTGAACAGTTAGTTACTGGGAGTGTAAACTGATACAACTACTTTGGAGAAATATGGCAATATCAACACTAATTAAAAATGCATATAAATGTTCTTGTTTTTAAATAATTGTGAAAAACTGAAAATAACCTAAATATCCATGTGGCAATACACTAAAGATGACCTTTCTCATAATTCCCATCTAGGGATGGGCTAGGTAACTGCCATAAAGAGATTTTTAAGATGTATTTAAAATCCAACAGAGTTGACCTTAATAAATGGATAACCCAATCAGGTGTGCACCCCAACTCCTGTTTTTCAAAGAGCACAGAGTTCTCTCTTGGTAGCAGATGAGGAAGGCAGACAAACTGAAGCACTGCCACTGGCTTGCAGATGGAAAGTGCCACGTGACGAGGCATGTGCACTGCCCTGGCTGGCAGCTAGGAAGCGCAGGTGGAACATGCATTAAAATAGCATGAACGAGCTGGGAAGCAGAGTCTTCCCTAAGGCCTCAGAAGATTAAGACCACAGTCTGACTGATACCTTGATTTTGGCCTATGCACTAGACATAATTAAGCCGTGCCAGGTATCTATCTGACCTATAGAACTGTGAGCTAGTAAATTTGTTTTAATTTAAACTGCTACATTTATGATAGTTTTTATTAAGCAAGAGAAAAATAACAGTCCATAATTGAGTGCAAGTAATTTATATATACATATATTTACATGGAAGAAATACGGAATTTAAGTTTTCAGTGAAAAAAAGCTGCCGTATGAGATGTACAGTTTATCACCAATGTAAACTTCTGAGACCCAAAACAATGCTGTTCACTAGTATGTGCATTATTCAACAGCTGTGTAAAACCACGGGAGGACACACTTAACTCCTGCGAGCCGGTCCCCTCTGGGAATCGTGAAAAGGAAGAAACAGAAATGGAATGACGTATTAAAGGGACCTCAATTTTATCTGTAGTATTTTTTCTTTTTTTCCTATTTAGGATATTAACATTTGTTAAGTCTGGGAGTACATTTTGCTATATTACTACTCTTACTGTTCGGCTTTTAAATACTACCCTTGCTACTACAAATTTGTGATGCTATATGGACCAGATCATCAAAATAACTGACTGCATTTTTTATTGATTCTACATTTCAGAAAATTGAACTTATCTTACTTATGCATTCTAATCAGAAAAATCAAAATTAAGTTTGTTTTAAAATACATTTAATAAAAATAACTCAGTTTTACATATTTTACATGTGTAGAATATTTACAAATTCCTTCTACAGCATTTATTTAATGGTTTACTATTTTTTCATTATTTGCCTTTTTGACTATTTTCTTCAGTAGTAAAATACTATCCAGTGTTGTCTGTAACTAAAAGATTAGCTTCTTGGGTAATCCTCCTGGGGGGGGGGGGGGGGGAGAAAAAAGGTTGTTCACATTTAATCTTATGTTTATGCAGTTTTGTTTGTGTCATTTTAGCCAGTCATTGAATTCCCATTACATTTACTTTACTTGTTTTGATTTTTCCCAATAGCATTTGTTAAACATTAAGCATACGGTGTACCAGTAAGAGTTTATGAAGAGAATAAGGCACACACTGATAGTTCTCATAGCTCTGAGGTACTCAAAAGTGCCCTTGTCCTTTTAAAGAGTATGATGTAAATATTTTCAATGGGAGCAAATGTAGCTAATATTAAAATACCACATTCTATCTACTTTATACAATTTAAATTTATAAAAAGTAAATAGCTCACAATCTACATTCCTTAGCTGTCCTCCATCATTAGCTATGCATTAGCCATTTGGAGTTTTCTGAATCCACTGCATTTCTTATAAAAATGAGAGTCTCACCTTGCTCTAAAGCCTCTGTCCTCTTTCGTTTGGTTGCCAAAGATGGATTAGTCTGCTCCTTTAATGCCTCCACTGGACAGTTTGGTCTTGGCAGATGACATCCAGGTGTGGGCCCTGGCCGATTACTGAAATATTTAGTTTTCAATGCCTTTTAAAATAAACACCAAAGAAAGTAAACTTTTAAGTGAGTATCTGAACCGTGTTTAAGAAAAATCCGACCTCCAAAATTGTTGGGAACATTAAAAATACTATGTGAAGAAACATTTTCACTTTAGTTCCACCAAGATGGAGGCATAGGTGGAGATGCCGTGCTTTCTCACACAACCAAGTTTACAGACAACAAAATATTAGCAACAGAAAACACAACCAGAACACAGAAAACTGAACTTTTTGGAAGTCTGATAATAATGAATGCTTCAGCCTGACCAGTAAGAGGGACGAAACCAGCAGCTGGCGGAGTGGGGTTACACAGGAAAACTCGGTCAGACGGGGTCAGACGGACTCAGGCGCGCAGATCCCAGGGGTGGGGTTGCAAAGGGCAGACCCAGTGAGCAACCCAGTGAGTGACCCAGTGAGCAACCTGGGGATCTGGCGAGGGCGCAGGACGGCTTGTTGACTGTGGTGCGCATTCGTATGTGGATAGACCAGTGAGGGAGTGGGTGGTGAGACAGGACCAAGCAGGCCCTAGCGGCAAGAGGCAGCAGAGGGGGCCACCATTTCCCCGCTCTGACCCCACCCCCACATACAGCGTCACAACCCAGCGACTTGGGCGGCCCCGCCTGGGTAAACACTTAAGGCTCTGCTCCTCATACTGAACGGGTGCAAATAGACCAAAAATGGCTCAAGAAGATCTCAAAGCCCCAGAGCCCATAACTCTAAGCGACAAACAGCAAAACTTTCAGATGCACAGTTCAAAACACTGGTGATCAGGATGCTCACAGAACTAATTGATTTTAGTCACAAATTAGAGAAACATATGAAGGCTAAACTAATTGAAATGAAGGGAATTCCACAGGAAACCAATAGTGATGAAAAGGAAACTGGGTCTCAAATCAATGGAGTGGACCAGAAAGAAGGAAAAAATGTTCCAACAGGAAAATATGAAGAAACAAGAATTCAAAAAAATGAGAGACTTAGGAACCTCCAGGACATCTTTAAAAGTACCAACATCTGAATTATAGGGGTACCAGAAGGGGGAAAGGAACAGCCACCAGTGGAATACCTATTTGAACAAATAATAAAGGAGAACTTGCCCAATCTGGCAAAGGAAACAGACTTCCAGGAAATCCGGGAAGCTCAGAGAGTCCCAAAGAAGTTGGACCCAAAAAGAAACACATCAAGGCACATCATCATTACATTAGCCAAGATTAAAATGAAGGACAGAATCCTAGAAGCAGCAAGAGATAAGGGGATAGTCACCTGCAAAGGAGTTCCCATCAGACTCAGCTGATTTCTCAAGAGACCTTACAGGCAAGAAGGGGCTGGAAAGAGGTATTCCAAGTCATGAAATCCAAAGACCTACAACCAAGATTACTCTATCCAGCAAAACTTTCATTTAGAATGGAAGGACAGATAAAGTGCTTCTCAGATAAGATCAAATTCAAGGAGTTCAACATCACCAAGCCCTTATTATATGAAATGCTAAAGGGACTTACCTAAGAAAAAGAAGATAAAAAAGATGAACAGTGAAAGGACAGCAAACTCAGTCATTAACAACCACATCTAAAACAAAAGCAAACTAAGAGGACAGCTAGATCAGGAGCAGAACCCAAATGAAGATCTCATGGAGGGTTAGCAACAGGGGGAGTGGGAGAAGGAGAAGGGGGGAGAAGGTACAGAAAATAAGTAGCATAGACAGTAGGTAGCAAATAGATAGGGGGGAGGGCAAGAATAGTATGGGAAATATAGAATCTAAAGAACTTGAGACCCATGGTCATAAACTAAAGGGGGGAATGGTGGGGGGGGGGGAGTGCAGGGGGGGGGGAATAGAACAACTGTAATGGCATAATCAATAAAATAAAAATAAAAAGAATACTATGTGAATATCCCTGCTCCCAAAACAAAATTAATTTCAAGTATTTGGACAAGCAAATTACTACGAATAAACAAACATCTAGCAGCCTAAGCTTGGCTAATAAATTCATTACTGGAAGAAAAACACTACCTTCCAGTTTTTCCACAATTAAATAGTTTATACTAAATATGAAATATCCTTAGTAAGATATGAAGGGGACCAAAAAACCCCCCACAAATTATCTTCTGGAGGGTGGGCCCCTTTTAGTACAGGCTTCCCCTCTGTATCAGTGTACAGCTGGCCTTGTTGTGAGAGGCTGTACTTCACTTCAGTGAGTTTGTTATTTGAAGACTCTGTCCTCACAGGCGCTTGAGTGGTTCAGCAGTTTTGGACCAAAAATGGCATGACCCCCAAGCCCTACCCTCCCTATTCACCCAATCTCACCCCAAGCAACTTTTTTTTTGTTTCTCCAGAAGAAAAAAGTCCTCAAAGAAAACATTTTTGCCAGTGTGTAAGAGGTGAAACAAAAAATGGCAGAAGGGCTAAAAGTCAAAATCAGTGACTTAGAAAACTGTTTAAAGCAGTGGGAAAAACAAAAACGTCTGAACAGGTGGATTGTATCAATCGAACAGAGAGTACTCTGAGGGTGACTACAGTTTAAACATGTAAGAATAAATACACAATTTTTTATAAATTCTGGTGGGGTTTTTTGCCCACCCCATTGTGTAATTCAGCTCTCTACACATAATGGGCTCTAAAGGTCAAAACACAAAGAAACTTGCTTAAAAAGAAAATCCAAATTTACTTATTGCAACATCTACATGAAGAGCAGGGGGCAAAATTTTACAGTTGTTCATACGAAAAAAAATACAATGATAAATAATTCAAGAATAAATTCTGGGGGAGTGGGATGAGTGGAGGTGGAAGAAGGTATGGGGGCATAAATGATAATGGGAAAATTAAAATTAGAAGTTAAAAATATTCTGTGTTTCACATACAACTGTAAACCTACTTTTGTACCACACTGTATTCAGATTCCAAATCATGTAAATATAAATTATTAAAAGCAGAGCTTTAAAAAAGATGCAGCAGATTGGCAACAAGAGATTAAAATCCAACAAGCCACTGCTAATTGACAGAAACGATGCTTGAAAGGACCTGCCCAAGGTTATTTCTATTTACTACAAGTCCTATGGTCTACAAGATATTCTACTGCAGGCCAAAATTCCAATAAAAATACTTTTTTCTGAAAGACATATTTGTCGAGTTCACGCTGAATTTGCATCATAGTACTGTTTAACATCCACAATAATTTAAGGTATTTCCTTTTGGATAATCCTCTTAGGGTCAAAAAAGGTCCATATAAAATCTTCAAGCATCCCCCCCCCACCAAAATCATATTATTTTGAAGTACTGATTTAGAGATTTCTTACTTCCAAAGAGTTGCATTTGTAAAGTGTTACTTCCAATTCATTGTAGTTCTCTAAGTTAACTGAGCTAATTCTGAGCTACACCAGATCTAAAAATTGAAGAGTACCTCATTCCAACTTTTAGAGCCAAACCCCATTCTTTTTTCTCTCGAAATTCTCTGTGCTATTTAGTATCTTTAAAAATTTAATCTTTCTTATATTTTTTCCATTACCATTTATCCCCTTACACCTCCCTCAGCCATCACTACACTTGTCCACATCCAGGTGGAGCGACTGAGCAAAAAGCAAAGCCCATTTTAAACAATTTGTTATGTCAAAATACAGCTCAAATCAGTTACCACAGCTACTATTTTTCTGTAGGTTCTGAGTTTTACTATTAATGAAAACAACTTTCTAGATAATTTGACCTGGTCTCAAGTTCTTTATAATGGCGATAATATACATATATACACGTGTGGGTGAAACTATAGTGTGTTACTTGTTTGAAATTAGAAGAGTAATTCTAATGGTAAAATATCTAGCATGTATGTATTAATGTAGCTGTTACATAAAAAGAGAAGGCTTACAAAAGTAAATGCTTTAAATAATGACCTGGTAGGCTGTAATAAAAAAGTGGAAAAAACCCACTTTGTATCCTTGATATATTGTGCATTAACATGTTTTGTTAGACGGGAAGACTTCATATTCCATTTGAATCAGTCTCTTCCTTTGTGAAGCTAAAGCACTGCACTGTGTTGCACATTATCCCCCAACCGATTTTAAGTGTTTGTGAGTCTTTTCGTTTGTGTGCTTGTTTTTAAAAAAAAAAAAATTTTTTTTTAATGTACTGATTTTAGAAGAGAGAGAAAGG